TTCTATCCAGCACGTCCGCTAAAGAGTTTGGGACTAAACCCATATTAATCCTATCCGGTTGTGTCTTATCCCTCACTAGGGAATTGCCACAGGGAAATACCATGCTGCTGTCCTCACCAACAATGAAGATTGGGAGAAGGCCTGTGTTATAGCTGGCAGGAACTGCGGAGACCTGGTCCATCCTCTTGTGTATTGTCCTGAGCTCCATTTTAGTGAATTTACCTCTGCTGTAGCTGATATGAAGAACTCTGTGGCAGTAGGTTGTTTTTTATTATTATTATTATTTTTTATTCCCTTATTTAATCAGAATTGTTCAGGCCAGACTCCCGGTGCATGTTCTGCATAATGCACCAGTTGTAGGAGGGGCTAGAAGATACAAAGATGATGTATGGGAAGTTAGTAAAAGCTTTTAGAAACCAACCTACCTGCCTGCCATTGACACTTGCAAACAACTCTGTTTTTGACAAAGGGAGCAAGGCTGGGCCTCAGGTCTGACTGTGGTGACTCCAGCTGTTGACCTTGGTACATCTAAGCTAAACAAGTGCCAAAATGTTTTGGGGGTTGGAATTGGTGTGATGGAGGATTCTGCATTGCCTTCTTAACTACCACATGCATCATGGCTGTGTAACCCACCCCTTCTGCCCCAGTAAAAGTACAATGGTTCTGTTTAGTAAGGGGAAAGGAGGTAAGGAGAAAACACAGCTGAGTGGGGAGAGCCGATAACTCCAGAAAGGAGCAGCAGGCGTTAATTCATTCTTGCATACCTGAGAACTTGCTGGCATATACTAAGGCCAGCCTTAAGTTACGGCTTTTAAGAGTACCTTATGAGAGATGGATTTGTACATTGTCTTCTGAAACAGTGGTTCTCAGCCAGGGGTCTGGGGGCCACAAGCAGGTTTCAGGAAGGCCGCCAAGCAGGACCAGCATTAGACTTGCTGGGACCCAGGGCAGAAAGCCAAAGCCCCACCACATGGGGCTGAAGCCCAGGGCTCCAAGCCCTGCCGCCCGGGGCTGAATTCGAAACCTGAGCAACTTAGCTTCACAGGGCCTCCTGTGGCGCCGGGCCACAGGCAATTGCCCTGCTTGCTGCCCCCTATGCTGGTCCTGGTTTTTATATGCAGAAAAACAGTGGTGGCGCAGACCGGTTGTGGAATTTTTATAGCATGTTGTGGGGGCCTCAGAAAGAAAAAGGTTTAGAACCCCTCTTCTAAAATGGTGGGTAATGTAAAGAAATTGTTAGGAGTTATTTTTAGACAAATAATATTTTTAAAGACAAATTATCTCACAAGAACAAACTTTTTATTGTTTCTCCAGGACAGAGACAATACTCCGAGCTCCTGTGCTGGGCTCTTTATTGCTTCTCACATTGGTTTCGATTGGTCTGGTGTCTGGGTCCATATAGACATTGCAGCACCTGTCCATGCGGTGAGTGTGTTAATTTGTCATGTGAAATAATCACCTTTCCTGCCTGCTGCTTTTGCAGAGCTCTCTGCTGTGGGGTGGGGGAATTAGAAAGAAAAGCTTTCTTGTAGGAAGCAATGGCTGTACAAAGAGATCTAGATTTTAGAAAGATAACTGCTTTATTCTGGCAACTTATTTGGGTTTTTTATTTAAAAGAAATCTCTAAATGTTACTTAGTCTAATTTCTGATTTCAACAGCATGTGCTTTCTTAACCCAACTAAATGCCTTCTACAGATTTAAGAAATGAGTACATAACATGTGCTAAGTGATTTAGCCCAATATCCTCTCATGGTGGTTTGCTTTGTTATGTCTGTTCCCGATTGGCTTGTCCGGGCTGCCTGTCAAATTTCTGTGGGGCTCTATCTGCTCCCCCAATGCCTCAGCAGATATTTGCACCCTCATTCTTCTCTTGCTAACCAACTAGCTGCTTTGCTGTTTTTAAAAAACAAAACAAAATTGTGCAGCTGGATTTTCCTCTCTGGTATTGAATTGTGGATTCTCTGCTGTGAGAGGGGTTAGGATAAATACAACACATTAATTGTCAGTCTCTCTCTGACGCAAATCAACTGTACTCTGCCTCCTGCTAAACTACAGTAGAGTGCAAACTTCACCCACTCACCAATATCAGCCGTAACTTAACCCACAAAGTACAGTTCCAGAGAAACAGAGGAGGCTTCTCTTATAGAGCAACCATGTACTACTTCCAACTCATCTGTAGATCAGTTTCATAGAATACATTCTTGCTTTGATGTTAAAGATCATTGTAAAGTATGTTGTGCTGTGTTCATTTGTATTATTACAGAGCAGACTGGGATTTCTGCATTAATAGAATGTATGTTTCTAGACATCTGCATATCTTAAAGTATTAGTGGGATTCTCCGTTTTTCTCCTTTATGTGTGGTGCCCACTTATTTAGCACTTTCATTTCAGCAGGATCCCTCAGAAATGCCTGCCTGTGGGCACGCTGCCAGCTTCTTCAGAGTTCTGCCAAGTGCGGCATAAAAGGTGGGATTTTCCAAAGCAGCTAAGGGAGTTGGACATCCCACTCCCTAGGCACTTTGGAAAATGCCACCCCAAGAATGTGAGCAGACTCATGGGTCAGCTCTCTGTCTGGATGTGCCTGGATTCTACTTGGAAAAGAGTGAGGATGAGTGCAATACCCAAGTGATATTAAAATCTGAAGTGTACCCATTTTTTTCTAGGGCGAACGAGCTACTGGTTATGGAGTGGCTTTGTTGCTGTCCCTGTTTGGCCGTGCATCTGAAGATCCTCTGCTGAACATGGTGTCCCCTCTGGGATGCAATGGAGACTCTCCAGATGAGGAGATGGAGAGAGATTCTAAAAGGCGACGCCTTGTTTAATGTTCCCCAGCACTTACCGATGGGGCACCTGTATTACCTCACCTTGCACCGATCCGTTCTGAAGCAAAGAAAATACCACATTTGGGAAACTGCCATTTTTTTTTTAACTGTCATGATGAGATCCATTACTTATTTCTGATGAAATGGCCTATTCTTTTGTTTTTTAAACTATTTGTGCACACAGTTGCTGAACAACATTGACCTTGCAATCTCTGAGCTCCGCTAGCTTTAGTGGAGGGAGGGAAATGTCCTCCTTAAAGCACCTCTCAAAACTTGCTGAGTGCATTAATGCATGAATAAGCCACTGCAACTCTTGCTTACCAGGCCTTCTGATTTCCTTTGTTACTTTCCATGAGGTTTTATTGATTCTTATAGGCCCCACTGCTTCTCACAACAGAGTTATTTGAGGAAGAAAAAACCACTGTAGGCTCGGCTTATTCCATGGCAATTCAGCTTAGCAGCAAAGAAGGTCTAATGGGAAAAGGCTTTTTATTTTAGTAAGGGGCAGAACCTGCATGTTAAGCTTTTGCTGACCATTACAATCAACAAAAGAGTGGGCCAAAACGCAATTCCATGTCGCTCTTACTCTTTCAGATAACGGAACATATTCACTTTGAAAGAAAAAAAGAAATAGTGGGACTATGAATAAACTTGGTTTACAAAGCAAAGTGGCTGCTTGCTTCTATCTGCTTCGCACATGCATGGTCTGAGTTTATTAAAGCCATTTGTGTATCCCAACATGGAACTTCATGGCATTATTTGTATTTCCGAAAGTACTGGGTGTTCCTCAAAGGAGAGTCTGAATGGACTGCGCTGTGCAAGTTCTCATGCCCAGCTCTACTGCTGCACTTCAGATCAGACCCACAGCACTCTTTTTCCTCCCAGGAGCTGCTGCCACTTGTGCTGAATGACTAGGTGCAGAGGAGCTTCCGCTAATGACTGGAATGAGAATACCAAATTCTCTCACTTGATTCACTGAACAGAGATTAAGGGCTTGTTGTGCTAGGTACTGTGCACACACATAGTGAGAGACAGACCCTGTCCGGAGGAGCTTCTAGTCTAAATAGACAAGACAGACAGGATCTTGGGAGGGGAACCAGGCACGGAGGAGAGAAGTGACTTTCCCAGAGTTTCACAGCTTGGCAGAACTGGAAATAGAAACCCTGGGGCTCCTGATGCTCAGTCCAGTGCCCTGTCCGCTGGAGGCATGCTGCCTCCTCAGACATTTTTATTTGTAAAAGAACTGCCCTACTCCATCCCCTTGTCCCTATGCTGGAGTACCATCCTGGATACCATTCAGGTAACCCCTCCATTTTAACCTAACAAAACATTGCCCAATACCCCTGTTCTCTTCTGCTAACCCATTTTTCAGTGATTCTGCAGCGAGGAAAAAGTGGATGAACTCTCACCTGGAAGGAGTGAGTATCCACTTAAAAGCAGAGCAAGATAGAAAACCTCTCCAAACTATGAAGTAGAATATTAGTTGGGTAAAGACTGTGGTAGAGACCTCTTAAGAATTGAAGGGACCTTAGGCCTAGCTAGAGAGATCATGCCCTGCCCCATTCTGTTCTTTTATTTTGTCTTGGAATGGTTTGTTTTTATGTTCTAAACTGGAATGTTTGCACATCTTGAGTCTGTGCATTTTGTCCAATGAGCACTGGAAGCCTCATCACCCATGTCCTAGTACCCCTTTAAGTGTTTTTTTAAAATCTTGCATTTGAACCTAGACTCTTGTAAATTAGCCCGATTTAAATTTCCTCCCTATAATTTATCTTCAGCCATTAATGGTGCTCAGCTTGGTTAGCCCAAGCTGCAGTTGCTCAGAGGCTGATTAGAAGTTTCTGTGAGGAAGTTTCTAGCTGCTTTGCAGATAAAATCAGGTGGACTTGGGCAGAGCTCTCTGCACCCATGATTGTGGGATGCAGTCTGTAGGGGATCAATACTAGGTCTTCTCTGGTTGAGCAAAGGGAAGTCACTGGCCTGAAAAGTACACTTTCTGCCTAAACACGATACATTTTGGTGAGGAACTTTTGGAAAAGCTTAAGGTGGAAATACGCCAATGGAGAGGAGATGCTGACAGCCTCTCCCGTTCCTGAATGTTATATTTGCTTCTGAAGCAGCCCATGACAATAGTTTGCTTCCTAAGCCTGATCTTCACTAAACAAATATTTGTCCTGTCATTGTCCCTTTGACTCCCTAGTCCACTTGATCATAGTTTCAGGAGATCTGTACAAAAAGATGAGTTTGGCAAAGAGTTGTTCCTCCACCTCCAGCTCCCCAATCTCCCTCACCAGGAAGATGTCTGTGCAGAGTTTCAGGATGCGGTCCACGTTGGGCAGCTCTTCAAACATTATTGAACGGGAGATGCCATTGAAGAACTCTCGGATAAACTTCCCAATGACGAGGACAACAGACATATAGAGGCCAACGATGCTGAGGAGAAGAGGGGAGAACAGGGTTGATCAGAACTGGGAGAAGAAATAAGGGACCATATCTCTTCCCTAATATGGTCATGCTGTCTGCCCATTCTATGGGAGTTGTGCATAAATGTCTATAATAAGCAAGCTATTTAGGTATCCATTAATGTGCAATTTAGCTTTTCCCAAAGGACCCAACTTTACCATCCTTACCTCGAATAGTTATACAAAGTTCCACTAATTTCAGTGAGACTACCAGTGCAGATTAAGGTCAATTAATAGGCCAGAAGGAGAAACCATTGAGATCAGCTATGACCTCTTGCATAACACAGGCCATAGAATTACCTCCCCCGGTGCTGCCTGCATTAAACCCATAACTTGTGGTTGAGCTACCGCATGTCTTTTTAGAAAGAAATCCAATCTTGGATTTTCCATCACATGAATTCTTTAAATCACCACCTCCTTAGCTAAGGTGTGCCAATAGCTAATTACCCTTCACTATTAAATTTCTGCTTTATTTCTAGTCTGAAATAAAATCTCCTAACCCAGGGATTGGAAACTGGGTCCAAAGTAGTTCCCAGCCTAGCGCTCTGGGAAGGGGACTTTTTTCCTCTTTGTTTTCACATTTGCTTTTACTGAAAGATGTGTGATTTTTAGGGATATAAAGACTGCTCGCTGGCAAAACCCAAGGAATTTGTTCTCAGTTTTGAAGGAAAATAAAGCACCTGTGCCTTCAAGCCCTTTCGGAACACAGACCTAGGACTTCAGTAAATTGCTATGTGGTGCATAAAACCTATTGTGGGACACACGGAAATGGAATTGCTTTATGTGACTGTTTTCCCTCAGAATCGCTGCTAATTTTGAAAGCTGTAGCACTTTGCAACAATTTGACTGACGTAGATCAAATGTTAGCTTGCATGCAGTTTTGTGCATAGTGGGCTAAATTCTGCTCTCAGTTACACTTGTGCAACTTCATTGACTACAGCAGGGTCAAAGAGGAGTAATCAAATGTTAGATCTGGTTGGTGATAACCCTACACCTCCATTTCAGTTGCTAATAACCCAGCTAAGGGCTTATCTTTCAGAGCAGTGCCTGACAGGCTCAGCTTTTGAGCCATATAGAAAATATTGAAAAATGATGAAAGAACCAACCTGTCAAACACAATCAGACAGAATAGATATATATTCTGCCTGGTTGTGTAGAGAAATGCCAAGACTGAATAACTACCTAATAAACCCGAATAAAGTATTCCACCACCTAGAAAGAGCAATGGGGAGTATTTTTGTAGCGTAGCATGCCATCCTTACCCGTAGCCTGCCAGGAATCCCAGACTGGAAGGGCTGACTTTGTCATTGTAGATGATAAGCTCCATATTCTTGCTGCAAGCATTACCAGAGCAGGTAGGATTCCACTCTTGAATAACCCACCACTCAGTAACTTGGCTGGAAGACGAGTTGATGGCCAGCTGCTGTAGTTTTATGGTTATGTTTCGGAAGAAAGCCATTTTGTCTATATCTTGTGGTTTATGAGAATGAGCTGGTTCCCAAATGCAAAGATAAAATTAGGAGCTTTTTCCCTACATGCCTAATACCTTTCAGTTCTATGCTTCCCTTCCCTGCATGCTATTTCCTTCTCCAAGTACTCCTCTTCAGAGAAGAGAATCTGTTCTGTAGAGCAGTGCAGTGATCTGCTTTCTTGCACATGTAAAAACTGATGTGCTCACAAATTTATGGGAATTTGTTACTGGGGAAATATTTCTATTTCAGCCAGTTTGGTGCAGAATCTTTGTGATATTTGGAAATGTGTGTGAGGCTCACAATATTTCCCCTCTTAGCCCACAGTGGGTACCACTTCAGTTTCCACTAAGGAACTCTGAGACCAAAACGTAATTAATTTATTGCAACTGCTTACCAACTTGCAAGCGATGTGCAGTTTTAGCTTCTGATCCAGCAGTAGCCCTGAGGTATCTTGGTACGACGCCAGGAAGCAGTCTAGAAACAAGTGGAAGCCAACGTTGCATTGGAATTATCAAATACTTCAGTGCTATGCATTAATCTTCTGGATCATTACCACTTGGAAGTGTGCTTGGATCAACCCCCCAGAGTGAATCTGAACTTTGCAACTCCCACTCAATCTGTTAACAGAATGGTTCTGTCTAGCTCTCAAGGACCATAACAGAGAAACTAGCTAAGGTACCTATATTGCCCCCCCATTGCTGTAATATGTGAGTGCCTCAAATTATTAACATATTTAACCTCCTAAGACCCTTGTGAGGTAGGGCAGTGACATTATCCCCATTATACAGATGGGAAAATGAGGCCTTGACCCTCAAAGGTAGTTAGATGCCTAACCCCCTATTGAAATCAACAGGAGTTAGGTCTCTAAATAACTTTGTGGATCTACATCTGAGTGACCTGCCCAAGGTCCTGCAGGAAGTCTGTGGCAAAGTCAGGAATTGAACCCAGGTCTGTGGAGTTCTAGGCTAGCACCCTAAGAACCAGATCATCCTTCCAGTCTTCCTCATTAGTTGCCCATTTTTGGCAGCTTCAGGAAAGAGTCCTGGGGTCGACTGGGTTCTGGAAACCAACCACCCCGAAACCACGGAGATGATCCCTCCAGGCACGTGTGCAGGGCAGCTGCTGCCTGAGTTGTACTGCTTTGTGGAATCCAGGGCTTCAGTCTCTAGGGCTGTACAGACACCATTGTTCATATGCAATGTATTTTAGAAAAGGATGACCGTAAATGGGAGCTAAAATACTTCTAGGAGTGACTACAACACCCCTGCCCCTCCTTGTCATCAAACAGGGGGAAGTCCTAACATAGTGTGGTTATAATGTTTGTAAAAGGAATGACCCTCCCATTTAACGTGTGAAAAATCCCCTCTACTGTGTTCACCAACAACAATTCTTTGCCATGGCGCATTTTGAAAATGCTGCTCAAACAGAAGAAAAATACTGACATTGGCTCTTTCCTGGTCCCATTTAGCATTTGAACAATTTGTTCTCTTATTTCCTTCTCTTTGTACCACACGGTGTGCTTGCCAGATGCTTCCACATTCTTCACCAGAGAAGCGTTCCTGCCCAGAGAAAATCAAGTGAGGTATATTCAAGTGTGGTACACAAATGTAGTTCCAAGATAAGACTTACTGGGAGGGATTCTTCCTGCTGTGGGCCATGTGCGCTGCTGTGGAGGTGTACAGGGGCTGTACAAGTCATTTAACTGGTGGGGAAAGAATTCCTCTGGTGCAGGCACTGTATAAGACAGCTATGGGCTTTCTTATGAGGGTCCCTTGCAAGCCCTATGGAAGGGGACATGTTGGAGGTGAAGCTGCAACACAAAGTGCTACAGAGATTTCAGAGGATAATTACACCAGCCTCTCCGCGGAGGTAGGTGTAAGGCTCAAGTCATGAATGAATGTTTGTAAAGGGCTTTGAGATCCCTGAATGGAAGCCATTAATTAACTAATTATTATTATTGTGTATTTGTATTGTGGTAGCTCTTAGGAGCCCCTGACATGGACCAGGCCCCCTTTGTGCTGGGTGATGTACTAACACAGAACACAAAGATGGTCCCTGCCCCAAAGAGCTCCCACTCTGTATAAGACAGGCAGGGGAAGCACAGGACACAATGCAACAGCATGAGTGGCAGGGACCTCAGCACACCAGCAGGCTAACCATAGTGAAGTTTGAATGAATGAGTATAACCGCTATATAATTCATTAACTGATGTTGTTAAAACTGACTTGTCACTCCTCTGAAAAGTACTTTTAAAATATAGACCTTGAGCTGCATTAACCGACTGCAGTGTTAACCACGATGCTGCATTTACCTGAGAATGGTCCAGTGAAAGTCGACGTAGACAGCAGCGGAGCTGGAGAGTTCGTCCATCATGGCCTCTCGGCTGGCAGGACTGATGCTCCACAGCAAGCTGGCATTGCTCTTTATTTTAGCAATGACGATGTCCTCTGGGCCGTAGTTCACTATAAACTGCATGGCAGACTTGGGAAGGGATAGAAGGGGTAAAACATCAAAACAGGAACCTTTTGGCTTCTTGTTAGGGCCTCATCTACACAGGTTTCACAACAGGGAACCAACCCATTTAAAATGGCTCAAACTCAACAGCAGCCAAACTGTGGCGTTTACCTCAGGTAGCCCGACTGCTGAGAGCAGGGCCAGGCTGTCGGAGGCACTACTCAAAAACCTAGTGCTGGGCCCAATCCTCCCTCACGGTCAAGCTCCCAGAGCTCCAGGAGGGACAGGAATGGGGTCACCAAGGAACAGCCCTCACAGAGCTGCTGCCAGGAAAGATTGGCATAGTGGAATAGAGCCACTCATCTTCCCCCCCCCCATGCCCTCCTTCTGCCCTTGGCTGGGAGAACAGGACCTGGCAGCAGCACTGATGTGCTGATAGGGCCTCTCCTCCAGCAGGAGAATTCTCTGCTGGGCATTTGGAGCTGAATTATGGTTCCTTTGCACTTCCTGAGTGTAACAAAGGGGCCATAACTGGACTGAGGGCCCACTAACCCTCATAGAAGCAGGGATGTACCCTAGAGTAGGGTTAAAAACCAGTTTAACCAGCCAGATTTAAACCAGGTGTGACAGGGTGCATGGCACTATCTGGTTCTTGGTGAGCAAGGGGTTAACACCAGCTCAGCATTCCCTCCCCCCTTGCACAGGTGCTGTGGGGAAGGGCTATAAATTGGCTCTTAGGGCAGTGAGGAGAAGAGTTACTTTAGGGACTGTCAGGCTCTAGACTGGGGAAATATTTGGTGACTTTTGTTTTTTGCTTTGACTTTAAGTTGCAAACATACCCTCTTAAGGAAAGACCCGGGCTGACTACCCCTGTGTTTTGTTTCTGCTGAGTCACCCTGCCAGCATGTGCCATGACTTCTAAGCACTGCTGAAATCCCTCTGTAGACATAACTTGGGCTAAAAAAATCACTGCAGTTTTGTGAGGGGCTCACTCCAGGAAAGGGAAGATATGTCCACCAAAGCACCTGACACCTGCTGGAGAACTCTCACTGAGCAGCACTAACATTGAGGGATGACTGGAGGGAATCTGGGCTCTCTGATTAAATGAGCCCTGACACTTACCGGGTGAAGGGCATATTGATTAGCCAGCTCATTATAAGCTGCTGGAGAGAAAGGGATCAGATTCCTCTGCTGAGCGCTCATGGTGAATAATGACTAGGCAAGAAAGAGAGGGCGAATCACAGATCTGGCATTCTCAGTGCAGCCTGGGACCCCTGTGCCTCCAGGCACTGTCGCAATACAGAGAAAATCCATGCCACTGGTATGAAGCATGAAACCAGATAGAATTTACCACCTCCCCTTTTCTTTCGTCTTAATACCTTTCCCTTTTCTATTGCTTCCACTGCCATTTCACACAGGGCACTGAACAGCCTTCCAGTGACAGCAGCCTTCAATCGCCCCTAGCATAGGCCATTTGCACACCAGTGAACAATAAGGTGAAAAGATTCTGACCCTAGTGTAAATCCACTTAGCCCGTGTGTGTGTCAGTGTCCGTCACACTCGTGTAAGAATACTCCCCTTACCTCGTAACCGCTAATGGTAATTTGGACTGAGACATCCAGGGGCTGATTGGTTACTCCTGCCACAGATTTAACCAGTGACATAAGAAGCAGTGGGAACCACACGATGCAGACCAATATAAAGACAATGCAGCCCCCTATTCCATACTTCACGATCATTTTCTTCTTCTGGCCAGAAGGCTGAGGATATTTCTGCAAATAAAAAGATATAATTGAGTATGATGCAATTGTAGCATGGCAGGGAAACCAGGCAGGAAGGAACTTGGTGACCATTTTGAGGCTATGAGATAGTCAAAGCATTTGGAAAACAACCTAACTGTTTTGCATGCACACTGAGTGGCAGATTACTCAATACACACACACACACACACACCCCATGTGTAGACCAACTGGAAAACACACAACCTCAAATTAGTTATTCCACTTGTAACTTATCTATTCACTTCTAATGAACTATTTAAAAATTATAAAGTTTTTAAGACATGCATAAGCTGAAAATGCTCACTATTTTATTTGTGAGGGTTGGGGTTGTAATGAACTGTACACACTTATAATTCAGTAGAAATTATCAGTATAATGTATATATGATGTTCTTAGAGTAGCCCATTGCTCCCTCTCAGGACTGAGTAGTCACTGCCATGGAACAGCTCTTTGAGGAAACAGCACTAGCAAAATAGACCGGGGCAAGGCTGTAAAAAGGCCACAGGGCGAGGAAGCAGCATCTAAAGGGAGAAGGGCTGGGAGCCTAAAGTCTTGATAGAAACGAGATGTCCCCCAACTCCTTCCAGTGAAAGGGCGCTGCTCTCCACAGAAAGCAGCAGCAGCTGGCGGCAGAGCATGGCATTCAGATATTGAGGACAAATCTGAGATGGAGCTGGCTCCCAGGTTTGATTCCAAAACAACTAGTGGAAGCTATATTTAATATATTCCCTCATCCCCACCAGGAGATATGAGTTGTACTTATAAATAAGGAAGAACTGTCTAGCTGGAAACCCCTGTAAGGGAGAGGTTTTTTTAGATATGGGCAAGGAGTTCTCCTCCTCACCTTACAGAGAGAAGGTGAAATCCTGGCTCCATTGAAGTCAACAGGAGGTTTGACACTGACTTCAGTGGGGCCAGGATGCCACCCACAGTGACTGTTCTGTAAGTGCAAGAGTAGCTTTTGATAACATAAAAGATCCCGCAGATGGGCTCAAACCAATGCTGACACTGAAGTGGTACTGGAATGGGGATGTACTGCTAGGCAAAACCAAACTCCCATCTCTAGTGTCTGTCTGACTAAAAGGCAAAAGATCCCATAATCTTGGAGTCCCCGATAAAATCCCCACTCTGAGTAAAACAGGTCTATGCCCGAGACATTGCTGACTGCGTAATTACGGCTGCCTTGTTTAACTATACAGTCAGAATGCTACAGGCATCTCCATTTATCTGCTGCATTGCGGTGGACAGTGAGCAAGGGAAGGTTCTGCTCAAACATACAATCTTCCCAAGTCCAATTTTTTCTGAAGGGTGCATTATTCTCCCTCCACAGCCTCAAATGGCCTCAGAAACATCTGTCAGAGAATTTGATGAGACGGGATTGTACAACTGGAATCACTCACCTTCTCAGACTCTCTCAGGCATTTCATAATGAAAACATTTGCATATAAATCCTCCACACAGATCCAGCTGGAAAGACTCAGCGTGGTGTCCGTCCAAACCCAGTCCATGACAGCTCTCAGCTCAGTAAGGAAAGGCACCATACGAAACCTACCAGTTGAAGAAAGAAAGAATGTTATTAACCTTTTAGAGTGACATCTGTGTTAAATATCAGAGCCTAGCAAAGTGCTAGCAGATAATTTTCAGGCATTTATTGAAATCTTTTTCCCTGGCACAATCCTCCTTGATTTTGGGGGACTTTTCCTTTATCAGCTCCTGAAAAACAGTTTCCAGTGTGTAGTTGTATAGTACTGAGACTGTACAGAGTGCCCAGGGATTTCAGAAATCACAGAAACCTTCATGCTTCGGGGCAGAAGCCAAATGCTAACTGCCTGGGGGTAAGAAGAAACTTCCCCTATGGGCAAATTATCCCACAATTTTCCATTATGGGAAGTCTGAAGCATCTGGTACTGGCCACTATCAGAAGCAGGGTACTGGACTGGATGGATCACTCATCTGATCCCATCTGGCAGTTCCTATAAACCTATTCACCCACCAGGGAATGATTCAAATTTGGAAGATCTTTTTTAAAGCCAAATTTCCAATGGGGCCTTGACGTGGCCTCCTCTTGTTCCTGTGCAAATACCTGTGTGCGTCCTTTTCAGCTGTCAGCGCCTGTGTACAAAAGACCACCCAAGAATGGTGTCTAATTGTACTAGGTGCTGTACAGAGTAGTATAGTCTCTAACCCAAACTGATAGATTTGCTCACCTGTGGATGTAAGAGATGGAGTTTATTCATGGAACATCCACTGATCCTGATGGGTGTGTGTCTGCAAAGCCTATCCCCTTTGTGTACAAATCATTGTTGCTATCCCCTGAGTTGGCAGGTAATACCATTCAAAACTGCAGTGCAGTGTTTCTGCATGGCCCACTGGAGGCCAATGCTTGAAAACTAGGCCACGAATATGCCAGAGAGAGATTCCTCCCTTAAAGTTCCTTTCAGAGCCTCTTCCTTTATACAAAACCCACAGATTGCTCCATGCAATGTTAGCCCATATGGGAAATGGATATTTTTTCCATAGGGTTTTTTAGGTTAATAATATGTAACTCAGCATGTATTTAAAAATGCACTGAGTACATAAAATTCATCCCAAATATGACCAAACTGGCCAATGGCTTTTTAATATCTCTGCCACAAGACTGTGTATCAACATATTTCCTGTCTGGATCCATTCCAGTGGCAATTCCAGGCATGGAATATATTTAGTCTATATTTACTTAGTCTATTTAACTTTCAGTTAGGCTCATCTCACAACCATGCTATTTCAGGATGATTTACACAATATTTACATTGAATTCTGCTAATATTTCCTTGCCTCTTGACACTGGATCACAGCATATACATTCCAGAGACCCATGCTGGAGGAATAAGCAGCTATTTTAGGCAATCAGAAACGGTCTAGCTAAGGGGAGACTGCCAGGAAGTGAGATGATTTGTCCAAGAAGTTTATTGAGCGATTATGTAGAAAAGTAGCAATCAGGTTAGGGGAAAAGCTCGGCTACAGCAACAAGAAATGTGGATTGGATTCAAGAGTCAAATTATGGCATTTAGACCCTGCTCTCCTTTCCTCTAAAGTGCAAACTTAGGGCTTGAGCTTAATTTGTGATATACTTGCCATAAATTACACATACCCCCAGAACAGTCAACATTCATAGAGTCAACAGTCAACATTCATAGAGCTAAATGCTGGTCCCACTGAATTGAGTGAGGATTGTACCATTGGCTTCAATGAGACTAGGACTTGGCCCACAGGTTTTTAGCCTCTATTATAAAAGCTGAACATCGCCTCTCTGCTTACCCTTGGAATAGGAAAAGGTTTACGAAATTGTAACTCTTTGTCAGAAAGTTGCCTAGGACCCGATTCGGATAACCACATTTGATCTGATACGCGGACAGGCCAAAATAAACACATTTGACCAAGTACCAAAGCTGAGCCACATGGTTTCTGTTAAATCTCCTGTAAGTGAATAAAACAGAGATTTCATTACACTATTTTGGTCACCCAAAGTCCTTACATTTTTTTTTAATGTGACAGTTCCTCAATCACTAGTTTGACCTTCATGTTAATATAACCTCCTCAGACTGGATTGGAACCTAGTGAAAATGAGATGTAAAGTGAGTGGCCATATGTCGTCACTTGAGACTATGGGTCCTGTTAAATGGAGCTTCTTTTCCCTGCAGCTTGAATAATAAATGTCCATCTATGAAAGGAGGGTGTTGACCAATAGTGAGCAGTTTCAAAGTAGGATATATCTAAAGTTGGGAGACTATTTCTTCCAGGGTTTTTTCCCCTTGCCATACTTCATAAGTCTGCAGATGTCTCCTTCTCCTGAGATCTCATTTTCAAAGAGTCAGATGCACAGACATAACTGAGTTTGCATACGAACCATATACCTGGCTATTTTCTCAAATAAACTAGGCGTGCAACGCAGTAGCATTTTGCACACATAATTGCACTCTCTTTTGTTCTCTTTACCCAAAGCATGCCGCACTTTCAACGTGAAGACTGTGGAAGGAAATTAAGTTGTCCATCTATCCATTTCCAAACCCACCCATCCCAGCATAAGTGCCAACAGCACAAATTAAATTACTGCTGAAAGCATGAAGAAATGTCAGACTTCAAAGCCACCACGGCTAATGTCTGTTTTCCCATTGAAAGCAAGTCCTGCTCACGAGAGAGAGAGAGAGATTTTCATGTGACACTGGCCACAGTTGTACCTTTCAGTAACACCTGGCAAGATGAAAAACATCCAGAAGTGAATGCCAAAGACAAGGACAACCTGGAATACACACTTCCCAAACATAGTCTTCCTCAAGTAAATGGCCCGGTCCACTATCATGGTGCCAAACTGAATCAGAAGCATCACCAGGAAGGCTTCAGGGACCTGGTCTTCCGACAGGGATTCAGTTATGTCAGCAGCTGCTGAGTGTTTCTGAAATTAGTCATAACAAATAAGGGGAAAATCTAGTTACAAAGCAATACCACTCAGGATTTATCCAATGATTTTATATAACCCATTGGAGAGTGGGAATCTCCAGACTATTACTTATGTGAGTAGTCCTTATTCAGGCAAGTATTTCCCCTGAGTATAAGGGGGCTTACAACTGTAAGTAAGTGCTGCATTTTCTGTAGGGGTTGGAAAGGCAAAGCTCTAATCCCTCCTCTCTACAAGCAAATCTCTACTCAGCAGGCACTAAGTAGAAGCATCTTAAATAAAGACACAAATAAAATGACAGTGAGCCGTTGCTGATGCCCCGTGGAGGAGTCTGAAGATCAACTGGTTTTTAAACAATTCTATTCCTTTGTGTTATAGAGCAATGGGCATCTACCCTGCATCCAGAGCCAGGACCATGTTTGTAGCTTGAACCTGCCAAAATCAAACACCCTGTGTTTTGGAAATATTCAGATCCAGATTTCAAATCCCCACTCATGCTTGGGAGGGTTCAGATATGGAGTTTTAACTAGACCCATTATAAAAATATCAGGGCTTCAGAGCTGTGGTTTGGATCCATCTCCATCCCTTGCTTTCTCTTTCTCCTCCCTAAGTTTTTATAACTAGGACTATTTTGCATGAAACCAAGCCTTTAAGGATCTTGATAGACTCATCTGTTGTTATCACTGATCATTCCCCCACTTGGAAGCAGAATCAGATTCCTTTGAGACATAACAACAACATCCAGATGTGGAAAGCACAAGCAAGTGCTATGGCAGCCAAGCTCAATGTGCAAGCAGCAATGCTGAGAGTATAAGCATAGCACTCACTGACTGGGTTGTGCTTCTGTTCCAGAAGCCTACACTGCATTGCCGCTTTGCCATCGGTTTGGTGTTATAGCCCTTCTGGAAATGAAACAGGCTCTCTGTGCAGGAGGACCCTCTCCTGAAAGAGGCTGCCCTCGGCTCCCATTAATGTCTATGGTGTTCTTCACCTTGCAGAAGGGTTTCAGTACCTCACAGGATCAAGGCCTTAGGTAACCCTCCCTTTCTCCTTTCTTTTGACTAGATTTCCATCTAAAATATCTGCACTGAGGTGATTTACTCTGTATAAAATAAATAAAACAAAGTCTAGAGAAGGGGGGGCGGGGAATGGAACAAACAGAATTCATGATCAAACAAAGTGAAACATTTGCTTTCTTTGGGAAACAATGGTACTCCCTGCCCAGTGTATGCTGTTGAGCCTCTCCCTCATCATTAATCACTGTGTTATCTGTATCAGTTAGCTTGTCTTTTGTAGATAGTCTCTTCTCTAGTCTATGGAGACTCCTTGCTCAAGAGAATTTAAGGTTGAATCAAAAACAAACAAAAAGAGTGGCTGTAATTCAGGGGAAATTTCCATCATGTCCCTGGTGGTAGAGAAGAGAGAGGAATCAACTGTCCTGAATACAAAGTGTGTTCTTTATTCGCACACACACAGGACACTGTGGTTCCTCCTGGCTCCCAGACTGATTAACTTAGCTTGTGCCTCCTCGTGTCTCCCTAAATCCTGGAGTATGCAGTCATGGTAGAGACTGCTGACTATATACCACAGTCCCCAAGTTAATAATCAAGCTATTTGCTTTGCAGTCTATATAAAGAAGGTGCATTTGTGCTTACGCCAAAAGCCCAGTATCCAAAGATAACAATTATAAAATTGATCACGTCAACCAGGAACATCAGTGCATAGACATCACAGACGGGGCTGTACTCCGGATGAATAATGTCGTAGAAGAACTGCCTGATAGGTCGATAGATTTGAAGGACACTAGGGGTAAAAACAGGTATAATCTAGTTCAATGGAAATTGTAACAATGCATCCTCAGAACGATCAGATGAATGTATCCAGTGCACATCTTCCATAGAAGACGCATAAAAACTGGAATCTATAATTACTCTACTGAACTGAAGTGCAACAATGTCTCATTTTCGTAAGAGATGTTACAAATAATACCCCAATTACATTTTAATCACCAGCTTCTTTGCTTTCAATATCAGTTGTTTCATCTTTTCCTTAAGAAGTTTCTTCTTGCTGATGGGACTCTTTCTAAAAAGCCTCCATTTCTTCCTGGCTTCATTCTTCTGAGTCTTGCCTACCAAAGGGAAGACAAATCACAGGTTTGTCTAAGGACTGTTCTTTTCTTAACAGCCAGGTCCTAATTTTGTCACAAAGGTTTACAATTCTGTTTAACCTTAGATGTTCCAATAAGGCAGTAATTCAGCCAGTAGGATTATCTCTCAAGAAATCAGTGTTTGAGAATGTCCTATGAATATAGTTTCTTGGGCTAGCAAATACACTAAGTTACTCAGAAGGAATTATTTGGCACCTATACACCATGCTACTGGGCACATTAGGGAAAAAAATCACAGTAATACTCTAGTATGGGGGGGTAGAGACTACAACCACCTAAGGCACAATCCCCTATTTTCAGGTGCATCCAGAGAAAGGAAGCTGAACAACTGAAAATTTGGCTCTTATAGTATTTTCTCCACCTGAATTTTAAAATGAAAGCCCCCTTAGTGTCTAAAAATAGCTCAGTGTGGCCCCCACTACCTCTGTTAATGGAGACTGTCTTCCTTCCTCTGAAGACACTCTCTGAGGGATTGTGATGTCTGAAAAGGTGCCATGCCCCCGATCCAGGCTCCTCTTCCTGCAGGCCACCTCTGGACTCCTGGTTCTTTTGCCTCCTAGAAAATCTCCTTTTCTTGGAATCAGACACATTGACACCGTTGGAATCCCAGAGTCCATGGCGCTAATGGGAACATTTAAAGAATGATTAATACAGTTTGATACACTGTGTCCTCAGCACACCATCTTTAATTCACAGTAACCATGAATCCCTCTGCAGGCGGAGACGGAAAGACACAGAATGGGGGAGAGAGAAACAGGGGGAGGCAACACTTGAGATGAACGGTTGGTTTCACAGTGGGTAGGGAATGAGCACAAGTCCCCAGATTTGGATCCACACTTCAAAGCCTTTAAAATCCAGGGGCAAACCTCTTATTGACTTCAGCAGGGCTAGGATTTCACCCCAAGGACTCTAATCTCCCATCACAGCATGTGAGTATCTCACATTAAAGAAAATGGCATTTATTTGTAAAGAATTAGGCCCATAAGTGTTCAAATCTGGGATTTTGTTCAGACCATTGGAGTTGAGGGCCAAATGCTAAGTTTAAATCTAAACCTGGGTTTGGAGTCTGAGTCCCTGCCCCCAAAGAATGGGATGAGTTTTGAATTTATAACAGAAATTAAGACCAGGCAAGTTTAGCAGAGTTTCAGTTTTTCTCTGCCAACATTCAGCAGAGCTCTAAGAAATTAGCCATTTCTTCTCCTTCTCTTCAAGAACAAGTTACCTTCAAGATAGACCTGTGAAAGAACAAAGCCAGCAGCTGCACAAGATCAAAATGCACATAGCCATCCTTCTTCTCAATCCCAACAATGTTTGGCAGAACAAATGGCTCTTCTGCATTGATGCCGCAGTATAACTTAGTGGTCCAGGGAAAGAATCCAAACTGAGCAAAATATTTGACAACTACTGTTACCTAGAGAGGAAAAAAGACAAAGTTAGTTGGAAGACATGGCCTGGCAGGGCAACAGCTAGCCTTAAACATTTTCAGAAGAGTTTGTAGATCTTCCAAATACATTTTTGCTGGCTTGCGATCCTGAAGAGCCAACCTTGCAGTGGTGTTTCATCCCGTATAGATGTTCTCTAATTTTCTTTATTTCTGGTTTTATGTTCAGCAAATTACCTGTGGTTCATGAACTACCTTCAGACCTACCAGTATCCTTTAGTCACGTCTGCCATCTAGTCTACCCCATTAACATCCATTCTAACAGAAGTTTATTGCGCTTTAATGTAAAGAAAAAGAATAGTACTTGTTTGCAGAGAGACACTTATGTCTGCAGCAAGGCAATTTTCTGGCTGTTGCATACCTCTGTATAAACGATAGCCATCATCCAGAAGAATTTAGTAGGCCTTGGAATGGATAACATGGCCCACAGGAATATAAGGATGGGCAGAACCAAAGTGAGGACAGAAGCAGAGACCATGTGGTTGAGAATGATGACAAAATAACAGAGCATTTCTGACTTGGACACCATCACATTGTACAAAGCAAAGCCCAACTTCAGGGATCGAGGCAGACTCTGATAAAACTTGTCTGACTGCTCCAGTTCATTGTCATGAAACATCCTGAAACATAGAACAAAAAAAATATATAAAAATAGATTAATTATATTTCCTCACAAAATTGGTGCAAGGCTATAAGCTAGTATTTTGAATACAGAAGATTATATATATATAGAGAGAGAGAGACCAGATGTATGGCATAATATAATCTCTTCAGAACTGCATGACTAAAGCTGTGATACTTTGTCAACCAAATCGTCTGTGAAAGCTGTTACTGACCTAACTCACATACACTCATAGTCCCCCACCCCTAATTCTGAACAGCACCTGCTCAGTGGCCCCCACAAAACATGGGTGTGTTTGCACATTTAAACCTCCAAGTACAAAGCAACTCTTGGAGGTGCTGCTGAGCACCCTCCGTTTTTGTTGACCTTAGCCCTGAATTCACCAATTCAGTAGCATTAGTGCGTAACAACCATAGTGCTCCTATGAACACAAATGCCTCTGCTGCATGGGCACAGTTCTTTATATCTATCCCTAATAGTAGAGCTGGTCGGGGGGCCGGGGGGGAGAAGAGGGGGGAGGAGGGGACACAAAACAACAACAAAAAAACACCTTAGTGACATTTTTGAAATTTCTGACTTGTTTTCATCTCACAGGGTTCAAACTGGGCCTAAAATGTTCTGTGGGGGTGGGTTTTTGTTTTGTTTTGTTTTACTGAAATTTTAATTTGTTTTTTAAATATTTTTTCATTTACCACAACCACCATTTTCAATCAGTAACTGTTTGTGGTAAGCAACAAAATCTATTTTGGTAAAAATTTCAGTAAAAATCATATGGAAAAATTTGCAAAAAAAAATGAGAATTTCAACAACTTGTTATGAAAAGTTTCATTTTGGAAAAAAAAAGCTGGGGGGGGGACTTTTAATGTGAAAATTTTTGACCAGTTCGACCATGCAGTAGTTTTAGTCTCATGGGTGGAGACTATAATCCATAATTCCATATCCCCCAGCTGGTGAAAACTGACATAGCTTTACTATGGATGGAGCTACACTGACTTACGCCAGCTGAGCATCTGCCCTATAAAGTCTCTTTTTAGTCTGACATCAAACACAATGTCCCATGTCAGCTTGTGCAAGTGAAAAAACTAGAAACAATTAAGTGGCGCCATGCTGTTAAGGCACATCATCATTCCATGAACACATTGTGGGTATCTCTGCAGCTGGGTTTGACTTTAGGTCTTTCTTGCCTGTTCAGAAGCAGCTCACTGGCAGTCATGATAACAGGAACTTCATTTAATGGCCTGCCTGCTTCTTTGCTTCTCTCAGCTGATGGGGAAACAGCATAATCTTTTGTTTCAGAGGAAGGAAGAGGAGTGGTCATTTCTGGGGCAGCTTCTTTGACGCTGTCTTCATCTTCCACCTTCTGTCCTGCCTCATCTCCATTAATTTCCTCAGCAACTTCATCAGGTGTCCTAGATCCAGAATGAGTTTCTTTATTTAAAAAAAAATCACTGAAAATCATAAGTTAAGTTTCTTAATTGACATTGAAATAATTGTACTAATATGAAACCTCCTGTCTCATGCCAAAGGGAGAAGGGGCTCACTCACCATAAATTCAGAATCCAGCTAAGAATTTTAACATGTAAGGTCATGGTGACAGTGATTAGAAAGGATTCACACAGAATTTAACGTTATTAACGTTATTAATTAACGTTATAAGCTTGTTCTTTTAAAGTATTCAAAGTATTTCATGTTGCATCACACTAGTTGCAGGCTAACTGGCCTCACAGCAGTCATTGTATGAGCTGCATGCTAATTGATCTCTCTGCAATATTACACATGGGTTACTCCAGCTGCATGCTAGCTAATTCCGCTGTAATCATTCCCCCGAGTTTAGCTGTTGCTAACTGACCTCCCTGTAGCCACTCCCTAGAGCAGGGGTTCTCAAACTGGGGGTCAGGACCCCTTAGGGGGTCATGAGGTTATTACCTGGGGGGTCACGAGCTGTCAGCCTCCACCCCAAACCCCGCTTTGCCTCCAGTATTTATAATGGTGTTACATATATAAAAACGTGTTTTTAATTTATTAGGAGGGTCGCATTCACAGGCTTGCTTTGTGAAAGGGATCACCAGTACAAAAGTTTGAGAACCACTGCCCTAGGGGCTATTTTTCATAGAATCATAGAACCATAGAAATGTAAGGCTGGAAGGGATTCAAGAAGTCACCACATCCAGGCCCCTGCTCTGTAGCAGGACCGCGTAAACCTAGACTATCCCTGACAGGTGTTTGTCCAACCTGTTCTGAAAAACCCCCACTAATATGTATTCCGCAACCTCCCCTGGAAGCCTATTTCAGAGCTTACCTACCTTTATTGTTTGAAAGTTTTTCCTAACATCTAACCTAAATTTCCTTTGCTGCAGATTAAGCCCATTACTTCTTGTCCCACTTTCAGTGGACATGAAGAACAATTGATTACCATCTTTTTTATAACCGCCCTTAACACATTTGAAGACTGTTATCAGGTCCTTACTTGGTCATCTTTTCTCAAGACTACACATGCCCAGTTTTTTTTAACCATCCCTCATAAGTCAGGTTTTCTAAATGTTTCATCATTTTTGTCTCCTCTAGATTCTCTCCAATTTGTTCCCTAAAGTGTGGCACCCAGAATTGGACACAGCTTTCCAGCTGAGACTTTACCAGTGCTGAGTAGAGCAGGACAAATACCTACCGTGTCTTACATATGATACTCCTGCTAAAACACCCCTCAATGATATTCGTCTTTTTCGCAGCTGCATCATATTGTTAATTTATATTCAATGTGTGACCTACTAGGCATTAAACATGTCAGCTTTCTTTTTATGTCATCAGTTATTAGCCCTCCTTTCCCGCTAAGCAGACTTTCCTTCATCTTTCTCTTGCTCCTAATGTATTTGAAGAACCTCTTCTTACTGCCTTTTATGTCCCTTGCTAGGTGTAACTCATTGTGTGCCTTACCTGTTCTGATTTTGCCCTTACATGCTTGTGCATATTCATTTGTACTCCTCCTTAGAAATTTGTCCATGATTCCACTTTTTTTTAGGATTTCTTTTTCATTTTCCAGTCATTAAAGAGCTCCTGATGGAGCCATATTGGCCTCTTACTATTCTTCCTGTCTTTCCTTTGCATCAAGATAGCTTGCAGTTGTGCCTTTCATATTGTCTCCTTGAGAAACCACCAGTTCTCCTGAACTCCTTTTTTCCCTTAGATTTTCTTCCTGGGACCTTACCTATCAGTTCTGAGTTTTGCAGGATGCCACCTCATCTCACTGTAACCATTCATTGGCTGACTCCAGGTGTGGCTAACTGATGACACTGATACCCCTCCCTTGGGATTACTCCTGCTTCATGCCACAGTTTTTGCTTTGAGCTCAAATGAATTTAAAAATCTCAAAGTGAAGCAAAGCAGAGCTGCCGAGCTTCACCCAGCTTCCATTCAAACCATCAGTTATCCCAGACTCACTCTGAACTGGGACCAGGTTCACTCCACAACCCAGGCTTGGAGGCTTGAGAGGAAGGATGGCTCAGTGATCAAAGCACTAGCCTAAGGTTTAGGAAACCTGGCTTCAAGTCTCTGCTCCACCATAGACTTCCTGTGTGACCTCTGGCACATCATGTAGCCTCCCTGTGCCTCAGTTCCCAGCTGTAGAATGCAGATAACAGCACCTTCCAGGGAGTTGTGAGGATACATACATTAAAATATTGTTAGCTGCTCAGATACTATGGCTGGGGTTGGGGGAGCAGATAAACACCTTAGATTTGTAACAAATCCAGCAAATATTGCCTAGCTGCACATTACCTCACTATAGGTTTGACCAGCTCTTATGAGAAGTTCTGACAAGGATAATGTTCCACCGTCTATTCACCTGGATGCACTGCTCTCATGAGGTAGCTGGGTTCCCCCCCTGGGTATCTGCTGGCACTCTAATGTGTCTTCACGCTGATCCTCCCATGTGCCTTTCATTTTATTTCCTCCATAAGGATTTGCTTGCACTTGCTGAGTCTTCTTCATGTTGTAATATTGGAGAATTGTGTCTGGCAAGGCCTCTTTTCCCTTAAAAAATTAATACAAAATCAGTCAGATGGGAAAAATGCTGTCCTCGTTTCTGTCAATGGAAGCGATTGTAATCCCATATTACCCTTTGAGACCCCTACTTCCCATGGGGAATTCCCATCTTTAAAACCGATGGCTGGTGCTCTTTTTATATCCTTGTGTCCCACACTAAATAAGATGTTCCCTTCCTTGCTGTTAATGCCCTTCAGAATATAAGCATGACAGCTCTTAGTCAACTAAACATAGTTAGTAGAAACCTGTGGGAATAGATATTTATTTGGATCTCAAGAATATCCAGTGTTATCATAAATTAATAATAGCACAAATTTTGAAAGGAATATTAAACCTCATGTTTTGTGATTTAAGCCAATCTCTATTGGAGACCAAGAGGAGACCCCTTTCTCCCTACTGTGGAGTTTCTTACATCTTCTTCTGAAGAATCTGGTGCTGGCCACTTTCACTGGACTAACTGTCATGGAAACTGGACTAACTGCACCTTGGTTCTGATCCAGTACACCAGGGGTTCTCAAAAATTTTTCACCGCGACCCCCTTCCGACAACAAAAATTACTACATGAGCCCAGAAGAGTGGACCGAAGCCTGAACCTGCCCAAGCCCCACTGCCCTGGGCAGGGCGGGCCAAAGCCTAAGCCCCACGGCCCTGGGTGTGGGGGGCGGCGAAGCCCAAGGGCTTCAGTCCCAGGCTGGGGGGGGGGGGCTGTAACCTGAGCCCCACCACCCAGGGCAGAAGCCCTCAGGCTTTGACCCCAGGCAGTTGGGCTCGGGCTTCAACTCTGGCGAGCCCATTAAAACGGGGTTGCAACCCACTTTGGGGTCCCAACCCGCAGTTAGAGAACCGCTGCAATACACCAGTTCCTATGTTCTTATTAAATTATTGGGGATTTTCTCCATGAAAAATTTAAATGAAGACAAATGATTTTCAGTTTCACCAAAACTTTTCTTAAAATTTTCCTGGTTCTTGTTGAAAAAACAAAAAATGTAAACAATTGTTTTCAATTTGTTGTTGCTGAAAACTAAAAAACACCCCATTTTATTTTTTTAAAGAAAACCCCAATTTTTTTTTTTTTACAATAACAGGATTTTTTTTCATGAAAGTTCCCATTTAATCAAAAAGCCATTTTTCATTAGAAAATAGTTTCAATGAAAATTGTTCAACCAGCTCTAAATATTAGCTCTTTTAATCTTTCCTTGCAAGTCAGTCTTTCAGGCACCTGGAATACTTTTGTTCAGTGATGTAAGCAGCGCTCAGAATTTATACTGACATCAAGTCTCTTTCAGGGGAGTAACAATGGGTTTCAGAACATGACCTAATGCAGAAAGATTGGTCCACAAATGAACATGAATAAACCATATTCCTAGTTGCTATTGTAATGCATAAATAATCAAAGAAACTGGTTGGAAAACTTCAATAAAAAACCTGGACATCATATTTTGAAAATGAAAAAGAAAATTAAAAGTGACTTGAAATGGAGTCTTGGACTGGAATTGAAGTGACCAATGAAAATTTTATGTGACTTTTCTCTTTTCAAGACACCTCTATCAATGAGCTTGTGCTCAATGGGACATTTTTATGCATATCTAGCTCAATGAGAATTTTGTGTATATAAAGATTTCAGGACAGACCGCAGAATTTCCGGCTTGTTACAGTTGAATATAGTCAGACATCCTGTTACATAAACAAAAAAAAACAGGACATTGTGTAAAATGACAGTGATCTTACCTTATTAATTTCTCGCCATAGCATGCACCTTTCAATTCTCAGCACATTTGCTATGTCCAGGTTATTTTTACAGAGAGAGTTCAGTGCCTCTGTAATATCATCTAGCAATGCTTGAACAAAGACCCAAGTAAACTTGACTGTATTGATTATCCTTTCAATTATACTTTCTGTCAAAAGGGGAAAAAAACATATACAGTTACAAACAGGAAATGGTTCTATGCACTATTCTATTTCAACCAGTTCCTCAGCATTGGCTGAGACACAGTGATAAAGGATTTCAAAGGTCAGTTTAGGTTATCTTTATTCCCATCCAATCCTGATCCATCTTACTGAAGTGGATATTGCCCACACAGAGGTGGACCAGAATATCATACATTAAGATTTGAATTACCTTGAAAACAGGAGTAATAGAAACAGGATGAAATTTAATAGTGTAAAGTGCCAGGTCATGCATTTAAGAAAAATTCTTGTTAATCCCTATAAAATGGGGACATATCAGCTGGAAGTGACAGAGGAGGAGAAAGACCTAGGTGTATTGGCTGATCACAGGATGACTATGAGCCACCAATATGATGTGGCCATGAAAATGCTAATGCAATCGTAGGATGCATCAGGCAAGGTATTTCCACTAGAGATAGGGAAGTGTTAGTACCATGATACAAGGCACTGATGAGACCTCATCTGGAATACTGTGTGGCATTCTGGTTTCCTATGTTTAAGAAAGATGAATTCAAACTGGAACAGGTACAGAGAAGGGCTACTAGGATGATCAGAGGAGCAGAGAACCTACTTTACAAGAGAGGACTTAGAATCATAGGACTGGAAGGGACCTCGAGAGGTCATCTAGTCCCGTCCCCTGCACTCATGGCAGGACTAAGTATTATCTAGACCATCCCTGGCAGGTGTTTGTCTAACCTGCTCTTAAAAATATCCAATGATGGAAATTCCATAACCTCCCTAAGCAATTTATTCCAGTGCTTAACCACCCTGACAGTTAGGAAGTTTTTCCTAACGTCCAACCTAAACCTCCCTTCCTGCAATTTACGCCCATTACTTCTTGTCCTATCCTCAGAGGTTGAGAAGAACAATTTTTCTCCCTCCTTGTAACAACATTTATGTACTTGAAAACTGTTATCATGTCCCCTCTCAGTCTTCTCTTCTCCAGACTAAACAAACCCAATTTTTCCAAGCTTCCCTCATAGGTCATGTTTTCTAGACCTTTAATCATTTTTGTTGCTCTTTTCTGGACTCTCTCCAATTTGTCCACATCTTTCCTGAAATGTGGCACCCAGAACTGGACACAATACTCCAGTTGAGGCCTAATCAGCGCAGAGTAGAACGGAAGAATTACTTCTTGTGTCTTGCTTACAAGACTCCTACTAATACATCCCAGAATGATGTTTCCTTTTTTTGCAACAGTGTTACACTGTTGACTCATAGCTTGCGTCACTAGGACCCCCCCAGATCTCTTTCCGCAGTACTCCTTCCTAGGCAGCCATTTCCCATTTTGTATGTGTGCAACTGATTGTTCCTTCCTAAATGGAGTACTTTGCATTTGTCCTTATTTAATTTCATCCTATTTACTTCAGACCATTTCTCTAGTTTGTCCACATAATTTTGAATTATAATCCTATCCTCCAAAGCACTTACAACCCCTCCTTAAGGAGCTTGGCTTGATTAGACTAACAAAATGAAGGCTGACAAGAGATATGATTATGCTCTATGAATACAGCAGAGGGATAAACACCAGGGACGGAGAGGAGTTATTTAAGTTAAGGGCCAATGTTGGCACAAGAACAAATGGATATAAACTGGCCATCCATAAGTTTAGACTTGAAATTAAATGAAGGTTTCTAACCATCAGAGGAATGAAGTTCTGGATCAGCCTTCCAAGCGGAGTAAAGGGGGAAATAAACTGAGCATGATAAATGTATGGAGGAGATTGAGATTGCCTACAATGGCATATGGCCCATCTACATCTGCTAGTAGTAAATATCTCCAACAGTTGGAGATGGGACACTGGATGGGGAGGGCTCTGAGTTACTACAGAGAATTCTTTCACAGGTTTCTGGCTGGTGGGTCTCGCCCACATGTTCAGGGTCTAATTGATTGCCATTTGTGGGGATGGGAAGGAATTTTCCCACAGGTCAGACTGGCAGAGATCCTGGGTTGTTTTTTGCCTTCCTCTGCAATGTGGGTCCAGGTCACTTGCTGGTTTGAACTAGAGTAAATGGTAGATTCACTGTAACCTGAAGTCTTCAAATCTTGAGACGTCAGTAACTCAGCCAGAGGCTTTGAATCTATTACAGGAGTAGGTGGGTGAGGTTCTGTGGCCTGGAATGCAGGAGGTCAGACTAGATCATGATGGTCCCTTATGGTCTTAAAGTCTATGAGTCTATGAAGTCATCTGAGCAAGGGCTTCTGGTTTGCTGCTACAATATGGAGCTACTCACCTGGCTCATCTAGGTTCTCTTCAGTGACTGATATCTCCCCTTTCTCTTCACGGAATTCCAACTTCACCTCTCCTGTATCATATAGGAACATAAACAGAGCTATAGAGGAGAGAAACTTTGCCTTGACATCTTTCCAGCTATTCAGGAATTATGAGCCCAGCACAATGCCCAGTGAAATCAATGGGGTTATGACTCCAGCTGCAGGTTACATAATCAGATAACAAGACACTGTATTGAAATGAACATGTATGTGGGGCAAAGTTAAGGGCATTATGGCTATGGAAAAGGGAAGTCTTCATCCAGCATGTGGGATGTGCTGCGGACAGGCGATATGGATGGTAATTAAAGCTGGTGTCAGCGTTTCCTGACCTAGCCACATGTAAATGACTACCCTTAATGTTCTATTAGTGATTCTTGCTGTAGGAATTACAGCCTCTCTCATTCAAACAGTTCTTTTTCTGTCTAATTTGGCCAAGCAGCCCCTGTGCGCAGGTGTCTGTGCATTCTTCCCATTACCTGCCAGTCGCAGTTGCTCCTCCTCCTCTTTCTTCCTCTGCTCTCTGGTTTCATCTTGTTTTCTTGTTCTTAGAGCTGATTTAGAGCTGGACATCCAGGCTTCATATGCAAGCTGCATGGAGAAACCCCATTAGTCTTTGGAGAGAAGCCTGGTGCTTCCATCCAGCTGATCAAGCCTAAGCTGTGTTTCGTTTGACGTACTCCGGTATGCCGGAGCTTCACAAACTTTTTAATAGAGTGGATCAAATATGTGGTGTGTCCCCCGTTCCCACTTCCATTCAGATGGATCCCTTTGCTCCTCTCCCATTCATGGGTCTACAGACCACTTTCCCTCTCACTGGGAATTCACTGACGCCTTCTGCTTCCCTTTACAGACACCTAACACCCCCCTAGTAACAACAGCAATTGCTTCCATGGAAGAGCAATGTTAGGAAAATATTTTGGTAGTTTGCAGTAAATCTCTTGGGATTTTTTTGAAAAAAGGTAACTGTGTAAAATAATCATAATTAATGATTAATAATAAATTAATAATAAGACCTCACTCTTTTCACCCGTAAGTCTCAAAGCATTTTACAAAAGACATAAGCATCATCATTGCCATTTTACAGAAGGCAAAACTGAGACACCGGGAAATCAGGTGACTTGCTCAAGGTCACACAGGAATCCAGAGGCAGAGTTGGAAATAGAACCCAAGTCTCCTGAGTCCCAGTCCAGTGCTCAATCCACTAGGCAACACTACTCAGTATTATCATAAGTAAGTCCTGCACCTGGAATGCTGTTTTTTTCTTTGGTGATTCTTCCTCCCTCTTTTCTGTCTGCCCTTGTTCCTCTTCTTCCTCACTGTCTGTCTCAAAGAGGTAGTAGCTCCCAGCTCGAATCACTAAAATCAGTTCCAGAAAGAGATGTGGCTGAGATTTTGCAGAGCTGCCCGGGGGATTTAGATGCACAAGTCCCCTTGAAATAAATAGGAGTTGCACATCTAAATAGGAGCTGCCTATCTATGTGGCTTTGAAAATCCTAGTCTAGCCATTTTAACAGAACACGTTTTAGTAAATATTAATTAGCATAGTGGAGCATGCGAGTATTTTTGCTGTTACTATTTTTTATTCGCTTGATTAGTATCTTTATGCTTAATATACTTTAGAGCAGCCCTTAGGCTATGAATAGGGACATTGGGAAAGAAAACCACATTTCAACAGCAGTGAAATATGTAGGGCTAGGAGAGGGCTTGGAAGGGACAGAGCAGACAAATGGTACAGTTTTTGCTAAGATACACATAGCAAGCATCCTTCCTAAATAGGGCTGACTGTTAGGACAGCTATTGAAGAACAGATTGGTTGCATTATAAATGTGTTTTATAAATCATGTAATTGTCAGCTGACCCCGAATTAAATAAAGACAATTGTCCTCTATGGGTCCCCCCACCCATGATGTTTCCTTTTTGCTGCCAGCCTGCTGTGTGTGCAGCAGGGGAGGTATTCCTGCCAAGAGCAGAATCTGGCCTTAGGTTTACAGCAGAATCATAAGCCTGCTCCCACTAGAGTTAATGGCAAAACTCCGATTGACTTCTACATGAAGCCCTATGGTTGTATTTTTTTTTGTTTTGTTTTTTGGGGTGGTTTGTTGTTGTTTTTTTGAGTGTGGGGCTAAAATGCAACCATCCAACCAAACAAAAAGTTTCTGCAGGTTCTTGTTGTGTACAATCCCAGCAACTGTGTGCAAAGACACTGTTTCTAGCAGGCTACATTGCCCTAACTTATACATGTCATTTTTCCAGTTAGTTGTGGCTCACAAACCTTTAGTGCACACAGAAAACTTACTGGAGGTGTGGTTCACCCAGGGTTGCCACCATATCTTCTTGTCCTTGTTTTCCTTGTTGCCGCCCTCCTCTGCAAAGGTGGTTGTAAAATGTATGTCGTGAAACAGATGGACAGGTCTTTTTTCCCCTCTCCACAACTTAAAAGAATTACATTTCTCAATGCACAAAGCTGTGCAGGGCCCACTGTGGGACTGCATTGGAGCCTGTGGGTTGGCTGTATGTACAGGTAGATCTCTTCATTCTTTGTGAGCCCTAGGGGGGTTCTCCACAGCAGCTCTGAATTGCAGGCAGGATCCATTCCCTGGATCTCATACCCCAGAATCCCATTGCCTAGATACCCCATCGTGAGGAGCAGCAGAGGGAGTTTATATCAAAGACCAGTGGCCTAACTGTGGGTTTCAGGGATTAAATTCATCCCACAGACCTATGGACAAGGCCTGGACAGAGCCCAGTTATTTTGGCTTTGGATGCGAAGGCTGAATGTGAATTTCAGCTTCAGCAGCACTGGGGTTGTGAAAAGGCAATTTACTGTGTACTGTGGAGTACAAAAACGCAGTGCAGTGCAAAAACGGAAAGCGGAAGAAGGGAAGGCACAGTGATCTCTCTCCATGTTGTTGTCACTACACAGGCTATTTAACGTGACATCATTTCACCTAGATCTAGCAGCTTCTGCTCTTTGGCGGATTGATCCACAGCTGTTTCTTCTGGGCTTGGTGTCATTTGCTTCAAATTGTCAAGTTTCTTCTGCTTCAATTTGATTAGTTCCATTCTATAGGTTTAAGACAGAACACAGACAGGAGTATAAAAATCATTAGCATTTAGAAAAGTAAGTGCTTTCTGTCTTCAATGTATACCTTCAAATCAGCGGCACTGCTATGGGTACCCGCATGGCCCCACAGTATGCGAACATTTTTATGGCTTAGAACAACACTTCCTCAGCTCTCATCCCCTAATGCCCCTACTCTACTTGCGCTATATTGATGACATCTTCATCATCTGGACCCATGGAAAAGAAGCCCTTGAGGAATTCCACCATGATTTCAACAATTTCCATCCCACTATCAACCTCAGCCTGGACCAGTCCACACAAGAGATCCACTTCCTGGACACTACAGTGCTAATAAGCGATGGTCACATAAACACCACCCTATACCGGAAACCTAATGACCGTTATTCCTACCTACATGCCTCCAGCTTTCACCCAGACCACACCACACGATCCATTGTCTACAGCCAAGCTCTGTGGTACAACCGCATTTGCTCCAACCCCTCAGACAGAGACAAACGCCTACAAGATCTCTATCAAACATTCTTACAACTACAGTACCCACCTACTGAAGTGAAGAAACAGACTGAAAGAGCCAGAAGAGTACCCAGAAGTCACCTACTACAGGACAGGCCCAACAAAGAAAATAACAGAACGCCACTAGCCGTCACCGTCAGCCCCCAACTAAAACCTCTACAACGCATCATCAAGGATCTACAACCTATCCTGAAGGACGACCCATCGCTCTCACAAATCTTGGGAGACAGGCCAGTCCTTGCCTACAGACAGCCCCCCAACTTGAAGCAAATACTCACCAGCAACCACACACCACACAACAGAACCACTAACCCAGGAACCTATCCTTGCAACAAAGCCCGTTGCCAACTGTGTCCACATATCTATTCAGGGGACACCATCATAGGGCTTAATCACATCAGCCACACTGTCAGAGGCTCGTTCACCTGCACATCTACCAATGTGATATATGCCATCATGTGTCAGCAATGCCCCTCTGCCATGTACATTGATCAAACTGGACAGTCTCTACGTAAAAGAATAAATGGACACAAATCAGATGTCAAGAATTTTAACATTCATAAACCAGTCGGAGAACACTTCAATCTCTCTGGTCACTCGATTTCTGACCTAAAAGTGGCTATTCTTCAACAAAAAAAACTTCAAAAACAGACTCCAATGAGTGACTGCTGAATTGGAATTAATTTGCAAATTGGATACAATTAACTTAGGCTTGAATAGAGACTGGGAGTGGTTGAGTCATTACACAAAGTAAAACTATTTCCCCTTGTTTATTCCGCCCCCTCCCCCCCCAACTGTTCCTCAGACGTTCTTGTTAACTGCTGGAAATGGCCCACCTTGATTATCGCTACAAAAGGTTTTCTCCCCCCCCACTCTCCTGTTGGTAATAGCTCATCTTAAGTGATCACTCTCCTTACAGTGTGCATGATAAACACCCATTTTTTCATGTTCTGTGTGTATATAAATCTCCTCACTGTATTTTCCACTGAATGCATCCGATGAAGTGAGCTGTAGCTCACGAAAGCTTATGCTCAAATAAATTGATTAGTCTCTAAGGTGCCACAAGTCCTCCTTTTCTTTTTGCAAACATTACATAGTGATCCTCAAAAAATCCCCATGACATATGAGCCCCAACTTGGTCATTGTTACCTCCAACATAGTATTAATAATAGAGGTGATCAGAAAATGGGTGTTTTTCCTCATGTTAAATGTTGACTTTTTGTCAAAAAAAACCAACAACAAAACAAAACGCAAAATAAACGTTTTTGGCCAAAAACTACCAAAATCCAAAAATGTTGTTTTCAGCTAAAAATGTTTGGGGTTTGGGTTTTTTGAAGAAAGTAAAAAATTTTCAAGGAACTACACGCATTCTACACACTGTGTTCTGTCAAAAACCCAATTTTTTCATCGAAAAAAGGTTTTGACAGAAAAATTTGGAACAGCCCTGGTAACTAGCACCAGCTGGTAAATGTGGAACCAGTTTGTCCGACGACACAGATGGAGCAGAGGCCTTGTCAGAGCTGGGTCTTGATCTCAGGAGTTTTCGGCTCCCAGTCCTGTACCCAAACTAGACACTTCTTTTTCTCTCTTTCTCTTTCAATCTCGTTCCCCACCATCTCCTCCTAACACCTGAAGTGTCACCAATACGCTTCGTTCTGAAGCTTTTATCACAAGCACTAACACTAGCCCCAGGGCATATCTATCTAAAATATTATAACTGATACTAAAACAGGAGGCCTGTGTCTTCATTGGGCTTAAATTAACTCGAGAATATTAACATTGTAACAGGGCTAATCCAAACCCCACTGAAGTCAAGGGGAATCTTTGCATGGACTTCAGTAGGAATTGGCTTCAGCTCTGAATACAGATGTTGAGGAGCACTCCTTTGACAGCTAAGAAAAAAGGTTGTGATAATAACATACCCTTTGGCCAGAATGGGCTCAGCATATGTCTCTGAGAAGGCTGGTCACCTCCATAAGAACACATGTAAGCTAGCCAGCCAGGAAATAATAAAAGCATGATTATTCATCTGACTATGTATACTGTTGCGAGTATTATTATTATTTTTTTTACTGAGCACAGCTTACTTTGGACCTGGCTAAGATTTGGAAGCTATCGAGTCCAAGATCTGATATTCAAAACAGGAAGCAGTTTGATATATGCATGTAATACTATAGGCCAAACCAAAATAAACTCCACCAATGTTTGGCTTTTGGCCAACTTTGCATGTGGTGAGGAAATGTTTGGCATTTAACTTAGGAGTTTTGCAAGGAAACATCTGTGAAATTCTGCAGCAGATGACATGAAATGTTTGATCAAGCTTTGCTTATCTAACGAGTAATCGAGGTTTCATCCAGTCCCCACTGCAAGACGGAATGTGGGTCTCATTATTCCAGTCTGACAGCACCAGGCAGATTGTATTGTTTCTTACAGGGCTGTCGCCTATACCACATCAGTAATCAGGTAGCACCAGGGACTTGACACTGCCAAGTACAATCAGATTTATCACCCCTGTGGGGCCAATGATTATAGGCACAGTGCAGGTCCCCATTTCACACATCCTTTCGGTCTTCGAGGGAAGTTTAATACGTCTCTAGGTTGATTTTTCTTTGTCTGAATGGGGGCATCTCCAGTGTGGGACTCTTTAATAAAGCCTTGTGTTATAGCTGCACTGGTGTAGTTGTACCGGTGCCAGTCCCTTTTGTAGATGTGATGTGTTAATGGGGACTTGCACCAATGCCACTTACCGTGGTTTCAAACTGGGATATATTGTACCAGTGCCAGACTCAGTTTACCCCAGTGCAATATGGTATGGTTTGTACCAGTGTAGCTACACTACTGGCTAAAGCCCTAATGCAGACAATCCTTTTGACTGGATACCATCATTGATCCTATTGGCAATTTGTTCTCAAACAGTGAAAAGCCTAAAATTCCATGGCACAGAACAGCTGATTGTCGTCCAGCACAAGGGATCTTGTACCAGCCAAACAGCTGGCCTGTGTTACAATTCCTCTGTAGTATCAACCATGGAGCGGAGTCAATTGCTTTCTGGTCTTGCCGTCGAGAGTCCAAAACTCTCCTAGAACTACCTCTATCAGGATCCTAAAGTCCCACAGAAGAATAAGGGCAGGGAATTTTTACTGTGTGTTGGGCACTCAGTACATATTTTGACCCCCTCCATTTGAAGCTCGTCAGTAACTATTTTCATTTGATTGTTGTTTGTAGCATTAGCCCTAACTCTTCCTCATAGTAGCGGGAAAGGATTTGAGTTATGAGTCACTAAGAAGGTTGGGGGAGGGGGAATCAAAGAAGATGGAAAATATAGTATCCTATACTGTAGTATAGAATAGAGAGAGAAGTGAAGAGATTACACATCCCCGTAGTCACCGGTTAGATATGTGGTGTATAAGTAGTGTGTGATTTTAAATGAACAGCAAACTTACTGTCTCCTCATGGCTTGTAATGATTTTTTCTCTTCCTCCAATCTGAGCGCCACAACTTTTTTCAGCTTCACTTCAAACAGTTCAGCTCCTCTGCATGTGTGAAACAAACCAGATCATTCGATAAACACTTCACTGTGCAGCATGCAACTATCTTCATACCACAAAGGGGTAGACCGTGTTAAATATACCCCGCTAACCAGAGCATTATCAATCTGGTAAATCACATTGGAGTGACACTTCTGTCTCCGTTCTCATTGGTGGATTAAGGCAATTGACAGCAATTACATCATTCTCTGGGCTCTGATTGGTGAGTTCTGGTAAAAAAGAGATTGACATCAGACCTCTGATTCCACCAATAAAAACAGCAGTTCTGAAGAGTCACTCTGGCAGTGAGATGGATGATTCAGGGTAAATCACTCCAGCAGAAATTTGAACAGAGAGAGGGCTTGATAGATATTAAATACCATATTAAGGGGTGTATTGTAAGTGCAGAAACAGACAAGCAGATATAGATAATGGATAAGGGACAACGAGAAACAGAAACTTGAAGTGGGAGAGGAATGTAGAAAGGGTAAAGGGAATCCTCTCCACCTCAAGAAGCTTCTCTTTCATGGACTACGGTGTCCCATGAACATCCCAATAGAATTATAATCCCACAGTTCAGAGTTGCACATTATTTATTCTAGGTGACATTTTTTTATGGCACATGCCATATTTTCTGTCTCTGCCACTTTCTGGTACTGCCCAAACATAGCTCCTAAACACATGGCGATCTGCTTGTCAAACCCTTCAGGATTTCCACTGAAATCCTCAGAACTACAGATGAATGTTATAACAGTCACAAAAGGTCTATATTCCCCACCCTGCCCATTGTGTGAAGTATGTGGTCCTGAAAGTTAGGATGTAAAGCCAGGTTTACCATAGACCCATCCTCATCTCTTGCCTCACTGACAAATTGGCTAAGGCATGATCATTGCAATGGAGCCTCAAGCACTTAAAACATCTGCCTTCTTAAGTCACACTCCTTACATGAAACCTTTGCAAGATTTCTTCCCCACCTTGAGTTTGCATCATCACCCAGGGCATTATAGAGGCTTGAGTCAGGTTGTAAGCTTCTTGGGGCAGGCGCCATATCTTGTTTACTTTTACAGCACTGAGCACATTATCAGTGCTCAGCAAGTATTAATAATTGTCTGACTGGATCCCTTGTTTTTGGAACACACACCTTGGGAGGCTCCCCATTACTATCCCCAGAAATCCAAATCCCAGAGAGACCAGATTTCTTTACAGAGAAGCGGGAGCCTCCAACTTCTCTGCACCATTGGGGACTGTTGGTTTAAACTTGTTACATCCAGTGCATGTACCTTGAAGCTAAGATCTTGGCAGCCTTCAGATCTGCCACTACGTAGAGGAAGTAATAGCTCACAAAGATTCTCCGCTGGACCAGCAAGAAAGTGAAACTTATCGCGTCCCAAACAACCCCTGCTTCATTTTCAGGCAGCTCGCATTTCTCGTCCTCAGGAAGAGCTACACGGGAGAAATCATAGAATCATAGAATCATAGGACTGGAAGGGACCTCGAGAGGTCATCTAGTCCAGTCCTCTGCACTCGTGGCAGGACTAAGTATTATCTAGACCATCCCTGGTAGGTGTTTGTCTAACCTGCTCTTAAAAATCTCTCATGATGGAGATTCCACAACCTCCCTAGGCAATTTATTCCAGCACTTAACCACCCTGACAGTTAGGAAGTTTTCCTAATGTCCAGTGTAAACCTCCCTTCCTGCAATTTAAGCCCACTGCTTCTTGTCCTATCCTCGGAGGTTAAGAAGAACAATTTTTCTCCCTCCTCCTTGTGACAACCTTTTACATACTTGAAAACTGTTATCATGTCCCCTCTCAGTCTTCTCTTCTCCAGACTAAACAAACCCAATTTTTTCAATCTTCCCTCATAGGTCATGTTTTCTAGACCTTTAATCATTTTTGTCGCTCTTCTCTGGACTCTCTCCAATTTATCCACATCCTTCCTGAAATGTGGAGCCCAGAAGTGGACACAGTACTCCAGTTCAGACCTAATCAGCACAGAGTAGAGCAGAAGAATTACTTCTCGTGTCTTGCTTAAAACACTGCTGCTAATACATGCCAGAATGATGTTCACTTTTTTTGCAACAGCGTTACACTGTTGACTCATATTTAGCTTGTGGTCCACCATGACCCCCAGATCTCTTTCCACAGTACTACTTCTTAGGCAGTCATTTCCCATTTTGTATGTGTGCAACTGATTGTTCTTTTCTAAAAGGAGTACTTTGCATTTGTCCTTATTTAATTTCATCCTATTTACTTCAGACCATTTCTCCAGTTTATCCAGATCATTTTGAATTATAATCCTATCCTCCAAAGCATTTGCATCCCCTCCCCATTTGGTATCGTCTGCAAACTTTATAAGTGTACTCTCTATACCATTATCTAACTCATTTATGAAGATATTGAACAGAACCGGACCCAGAACTGATGCCTGCCGCACCCCACTCATTATGCCCTTCCAGTATGACTGTGAACCACTGATAACTACTCTCTGGGAACAGTCTGCAACCAGTTTTGCACCCACCTTAGTAGCTCCATCTAGGTTGCATTCTCCTAGTTTGTGTATGAGAAGGTCATGCAAGACAGTATCAAAAGCTTTACTAAAGTCAAGATATACCACATCTACCGCTTCCCCCATCCACAAGGCTTGTTATCCTGCCAAAAAAAGCTATCAGGTCAGTTTGACACGATCTGTTCTTGACAAAACCATGCGGTCTGTTACTTATCACCTTATTATCTTCTAGATGTTTGCAAATTGATTGCTTAATTATTTGCTCGATTATCTTTCCAGGTACAGAAGTTAAGCTGACTGGTCTGTAATTCCCTGGGTTGTCCTTATTTTCCATTTTTATAGATTGGCACTATATTTGCCCTTTTCCAGTCTTCTGAAATCTTTCCCGTCTACCATGACTTCTCAAAGATAATTGCTAATGGCTCAGATGTCTCCTCAGTCAGCTCCTTGAGTAGTCTAGAATGCATTTCATCAGGCCCAGGTTACTTGAAGACATCTAATTTGTCCAAGTAATTTTTAACTTGTTCTTTCCCTATTTTAGCCTCTTCTGATCCTACCTCATTTTCACTGGTATTCACTACATTAGATGTCCAATCAGCACCAACCTTCTTGTGAAAACCGAAACAAATAAGTCATTAAGCACCTCTGCCATTTCCACATTTTCTGTTATTATTCTCCCCCTCCCCCATTGAGCAGCAGGCCTACCCTTTCCTTGGGCTTCCTCTTACTTCAAATGTATTTGTAGAATGTTTTCTTGTTACCCTTTATGTCTCCAGATAGTTTGATCTCGTTTTGTGCCTTGGACTTCCTAATTTTGCCCCTACATACTTGTGTTATTTCCACTAGTTTCCACTTTTTGTAGGACTGCTTTTTAATTTTTAGATCACTGAAGATCTAAAGCGTCACACCAACTGTACAAACGCTTCACTGCATGTTGTTCCTCTGATACAGGCAGTATCAAGTCTTCATGCTACAACACAGCAGGAAAAAACTGACAGACACATATACTTAACCTGCAGCAATTTGCAGCCTATAAAGAACCCTCAGGTTCTGCTATAGACATCATGAAACAGTGCAACCGTGAATAGGAAGGCAGCAAGTCAGGACTACTGGTTCAGCTCCTATTTTCATTCTCTATGATCTGATCCAAAGCCCAGTGAATTCAATGAAAAGACTCTCATTGGCTTCAATGGCCTTTGGATCAGACCCTATGTAAGCCATTATACAATTCCAGTAGAGGCTTCTGGGCTCTTTTGTGGTCACCGTCTCTCTCACATACACACACCCCACATGGAATAACACATTGGAATGACTAGGGTGTATTACGGTGGCTTTCTACATTTCTCTGGAGCATCTAGCTCCTATCTGTTTCCCAGACTAGCTGGGCCATGGTATGCTTCCACATGGAATTGTTACATGCCATACACATTTGTGACCTCCACTTCAATAAACAGGTCTCTGCTTGCACAGCTACTGATACAGTGTTTTATTGGCTTTGTAGAAAAAGTGGACTAGACTTTTGCTTATCCTTCAGTAAGAAAATGTTTTCCTGAAATTACAGTCAAATGGTACCTCCTCTCTGCGTGTTCATTATTTGCTACTTACCCAAGTCATACCCCGGTATAGTACAGAACATGCCAAAGGTCTGTATTAGCCAGCAATGGTTTCTCAGTAACTTATCAAGATAGGCACACGCTCCAATCTACAATCAAAAAGGAGACAGTGAAAAGGCTCAGCAGCATTTTGTTCCTTGTATTCATTTATCTAAGCTCTAATTGCACTTGCTGTTTTTATCTAAAGTAGTGTGATGGGTCAGTTTAATGAGCCTTTCTAACTGCTGTTCCTGAATTAGCTAGAGAAGAGGATTCTCAGGTATCCCACTTTCCTGCCAAAGGAACAGAGAAGATAGGCAGCATGGAGGAATGGCCTGTAATTAGAGAAAAGTGCTTTGCTCTCTGTTTGCTGTTGGGAGGGCCCGCACGTGGAAAGCTGGGGCCAAGCCATGCCACATGTCCCTAATGGATGGACTGATAGATTTTCATGAGCAGGAAGCTATTTCTGAAAACTCTTTTTTACTTTTAAAGTGAATTTAGTTTTCATTAAAGGTGCTGCATGAGTAGCCTGGGGAAAGACATCTTCCTTTCATCCACAGAAGAGCTCCAGCACAGACCACAGCTGTGAATGCTTCCCTACCCTCTAGGGGAAAGAGATATAGGGCCAGATTATTTTTTTGAAATGTGCATAATTTTATTATGTAACATTTATCATCATATAGAAGGGCTTAAATCAACTGAACTGGAAAAGTCAAACAGGGCCATATTCCAGTCACTGTCACAGAGAGCGTAAGTGGGCTGTGCCCAGGGGAGTTCCACAAATGGGTGGCAGAATCCTGCCCCAGAGGCCATAGGCCAGTAACAGCCACTACTTGACCTCAGGACTTATTAGCCTTCAAAGCGGCTGTGTCCCCACCCCTTCATGCATGAAGAGAAAGGCTTTAGACAGTGAAGCCACTTCATTGCGGAAGCCCTGGTCGTGCCCTTGTAACTCCCCAGTCTTGTCCTGAAACTCACCTCCCCTGCACACCACAGCTCCTGAAACCAACCTCACCCACAGCTCTGTATTTGCAGAAAGTGTGGGGCCCCCTTTCCCATGCTCTCCACATCCTGCTTTCCTCACACACAGCAGAAGCCCACTGATTCCACTGCCAGCTGGCTATTACTTGGCTGTGGAAATAGAGAGGATGGATGATCTTGCAGCTCAAGCACTGGACTGGGACTCATGAGTTCTGGGTGATGTTCCCCACTCTGCCACACACTACCTGTGTGACCTTGGGAAAGTCACATGAACTCTGCATCCTTCAGTCCCCTCCATCTGAAAAGTGGGGATACTAATACTTCCCTTTCTTCTACGTTTTGTCTGTCAAGAACCTCACTGACTTCAAGGATCTGCCCATGAGGAGGTCTTCATAGGATCAGGGCCTTAGATAGTAAACTCTTAGGGCAGGGACATTTTTCATAATACACATGTAAATTCCTTAGCCCACTGGGTCCCAGATTTCGGATGGTGACTCTAGGTCCTTCTGTAATATTAAAAATAGCCAGAGGGCAGATATTTCCCTAATTCTGTGAAAGACAATACATACAGCCAGAAGATTCTTCATCACTATAACTAAGGCAGTGTACGCCGTCAAATAGTCCCACAATCTGAGAACATTCTTGACCGGCTTTAGAAGGAGACTGCTTCCAAAGAGCATAAAGTAGAAACAGGCTGTCAGGTAGCCCAGACAGAATATGTTGATTCGAGTTGTCCCAGTGACAAAAATCAGGCAGAGCACAAACCAGAAGTGGTAGCCGAACACAACCACTTTAGCCATATCCAAATAGGACCTGTGGGAGGGGAAATGAAGTGTTAGAGCAGTATCAGGGAGACTCTCGTGTCTGCCAGTTGGTGGCCGTGCACTTAAATATGTAAACCAACAGTGCCCCTTGACTTATGGCAGCACCCCATTGCATCTACACATTATACACCAGCTCAGTCGAGACGAGATCAGTGAACTTTGTGGTCCCTAGGTAGAAGCTCTACCAGGTGAACTGAGATAATAGGCTTGCCCACTCCTTTTGCAAACAGTTATTTTATCTGTCTATTACACTAAAAATTAAAGTGGTTCATAAATACATTGCTGGTTCAGACAGAGAAGAGAAAAGATGCTATGTGCAAAAAATTTCCACGCAGTATGAACTTTGCATAGACCCACTCAAGATCTTTTGCTAATGAGCTGATAAAGTTAACTAAATCTATTTTGATCTTTATCCTAGGATATTATAACAGTCCATCTCTGATATCATGCCTCCTTGTAATTAAATGACAATTTATTTGGATGCATTGAGTATACTAAAAGCCAGCTACTGTGCTATATAAGACATAGGGAATTCCAACAGAGTGCTAGAGTTTAGCAGCATGGCAGCAGTGGGTCAGCTTATAATTTTTAAGGGTGATGGTGATGAACTGTGATGGTGATGAACTGATGAACTGTTCAAACTACCTAAAGAAGTGGTGGATTCCCCATCTCTTGATGTCTTCAGATAAAAACTGGATGCCCATCCTGAAACTATGATTTAGTCAAACAAAAGTTACTGGGCTCAAAACAGGGGTAAGTGGGTGAAATTCTCTGCCCTGTGTTGCACAGAAAGCCAGATTGGGTGATCTAGTGGTCCCTTCTGGCTTTGAAATCTATTAATTATTAAAGGGTTTGTAACTAAAGATGAGGCCCACCTACTAACACCCACAAACTATGGATTGGATGGGGACTCTGAGCACAAACCTGACTCCAGATCCAAACTGCACAGCTGCCCTCTACTTCTCTTAAAGGCCTGATAAAATCTTATATCCAAACACCTTCAAAATCCAGATTCCATGTTTCCACCGGTTATACTTGTCCAAAGCAAAACTTGTTGGTTCCTACCTGCAGTGGATAAAGTTTGGCACAGGGCTGTACTGGCTGAGAGCAGCTGGGTCTAATTCACAGCTGATCTCCACATTATCTCCTGCCTTTATTCGCACACAAGCCTTATTCTCATCTTCGAATACCTGCCATTGCAGGGAGGCAAAAAGCAGAAGCAGGAAGTCATCTGGGAGGAGACAGGAAAACAGCTTCTTAGCAGCTTCAGGCAAGACTGCTCTGGTTATGTTTAATATTATGGTGACAATGATTAGTAGATAGCAGCAGGGATTTCAGACAGTAAAATGCTGCACTGGATGATTGATACTTACACAGGAGAAAACTGGCATCAGGTCTCTTGGCAAAATCAGGCAGATAGAGCCACTTAATCAGATTGGAATGGATTGTCCAGCGAGAGGTTCTCCACGGATAATCTGTTGGCAAAGGGGTTCTTTTTATCACACAAAACATTTTAAGCTAATTTCTGAGCTTACAGCCTAGAAATGTTCGAGTTGAAGCGCACTGGCATTTCTCAAGGGAAATGGCACACGTCAGGATAACAGCACATCCTCCTGATAGCACAGGGTTGGCACAATTGCTACCAATAAAAGTGAGCGCTCATCAATGCTGAAACAACTAGTGTTGAGGGCATGAGTTCTCCAGTGTGAGTTGGATCAAGCCTCTGAAGAATTCAATGGGAGTGTGTGACAGGGCGTCCACCCCTCACTGGCATGTAAAGAGTTAAAAGAGGCCTAAAGAGACTGTATGGGGCGCAGTCAATAGGAGAGAGGCTGCAAGGAACAGCCAATCAGGGCCCAGCAGGTTCACATAAAAGGAGCTGCAGGGCAGAATAAAGGTCAGTAGCTGCTGGGAGCTGAAAGGATGAGGACTGTGTCCCTAACAGATGGAAAGAAAGCCAGCACCACGGACAGGTCAGTTGCTGGCAGGGCCTGAGGGAGCAAGAGACAGCTCCTGATTGGCTACAGGGACTGAACAGCTGAGTGCCCTGCAGTAAGGGCAAAGAAGATGCTGGGGCCATGGAGAAGTGGTCCAGGGGATCGTAGCAGGTGCAGCAGGAGGCTGCAAGATACAGGGTCCCTGGGCTGGGACCTGGAGTAGTGGGTGGGTCCAGGTCCGTCCCCCCCATCCCAGTTGCCACTAGGGAAGTGGCATGATTATTGGACAGAGACACTAACCCCCGGAAGGGGGAACATGGATAGTGACGTGGTCAAAGGGCTGAGCCATGAAGAGGATGCTGCAGTTCCGGCAGCTGAGGGAGGGGCTGTAGGAGGAATCAGGGACGGAGTGATGGTGTGCAAGCTGTGGACAGGATGCGTCAGCCTTGAGCTAATCCCCAAAGTGATCACGAGGAGGCACCAGCCTGGCCGTGAGTAATGCACCCCGTGAGAGAATCTTTCAACTGACTTTAATGGGAGCTGGACCAGAACTTAAAATCTTCGTAGTGTTATTCTTGGCATGCAGTTTACCACATGGTCTTGGGATTGAATAGAGACGGAATTGTTCCAGTGTGTTCTCTGACCTCTACTTGTTGTAGCTCAGAGCCAGCTGATCCCAGCCAGTGAGTTACAAGCTATTTGGTCCCCCTGAAATACCTCACCTCATCTGTTTCTCTGCTGTGGCCTCGCTGCCCCCTCCCCTCCCGTCCCTTGGCTGTACCTGGTGTCTCTGGAATCATGGAATAGCTTGGCTCTTCTGATTCTCATAGTGCAGGGAGAGCACATGGGGTGTCACCTATGCTAGGAGGTGAAACCAAGCAAGTCAGCCTAATGTGACTGTAACCTTTTGAAGGGAAAAACCATAGAGAGGGAGAGAGAAGCTACAGACAAAAGACACAATTTTACAGGGATGTAATAATAATCATCGTAATACTAATATTATGTTTGGGTATGTTTTGGGGGTCACCTGACCAGATAAAGGTGCTTCAGCTTAAACGGGTTTAACAAGTCTGGTCACTGGATGCTCGTGGTGGAGTCTAAAAGAAAAGGTAAGCTGGAACACAAGAGAACTAAGAGGAAAGGATGGGTCTCTTCTCCAAGCAGGCAGTAGCCTCTGGGGATTATTGCCCAGTGGTTTTCAGTTGATTTGGTGGTGTTTTGAGGGGCAGATAATAAACAAGCCCTGAGGAAAGGGTGTTAGATGATTGAGGCTTGGAGTGTTATTTCCATTCCCTGGTTGGTAGAACACCCCTTCCTCCCTCCCCCCCCCACTAGCTTACACACCATCACCAGGGACTTTCCCCTTTCAGTGTCCCTGTATGCCCTCTTCTCCTTACAGAGCTGGATGGGATATGGCTCAACCACCCTCACCAATCATGACTTGGCCAGTCCTCTTTCAGGTTATTAGTGACTGCTGGGGGCTTTTCTATGTGTTCACTCAACCACCCCCACTCAGACAATGCACCGTGTTGCATTTACCTTTACAGAAAGCAGGAGGGAGGCCAATGCACAGCAAATACTGAAAGGTCATGACACTGGCAAGGCAAGAACAGTATCTCGGCCAGACCTCAGCCACTGCTTTCCTTCGGCGGCGGTGCAGCAGGTAGACAAGCCAGCAGCCGTGGAGAAGGGCATAGAAATCCATACGCTGCTTAATGACATTCACAGCCATGATGAGACACATCTGAAAGAATGGAATGTTCCAGTGAGCCAGGCGGCATCAGTTAAAGCCCACGGTCACTCAGAAAGCCCTCCTGACTGCTTACTTTTTCAAAGGTCACCACTGCAGGGAGTGTTAGCAGTTGGCTGTGTGGGAAAGTCGTACTGGTATCAGCTAAGATGTGAATTTAAACCAATATAATTTTAGCAGTATAACCCTGCCATGTGGACACTCTTACTTTGGCATAAGAGAGGCTTTTTTCAGTTTATCTTACATCACTTGAAAAGGAGTTTAAACTAATCTGAACAAAAAGAAAAGGAGTACTTGTGGCACCTTAGAGACTAACCAATTTATTTGAGCATAAGCTTTCGTGAGCTACAGCTCACTTCATCGGATGCATACTGTGGAAACTGCAGAAGACATCTGAACAAGGCGCTCATTCCAGAATAAGAGCCTCCACATGAGTGTTATACCCATGTAACTCTAGTGGTTTAACGGTATTGGTAAGACTTTCCCATGTAGACAAGGCCGTAGTCAAAGTTGATAGATTCAAGAAAGGAGAGTTGGTCACTAGGGAATAAGATACGAAGAGGAAAATTCTGCCTTTCCTTCCACAAGGGTGACTTCCCCTGAACCAATGCTATGAAGAGAAACACTGAGAGAAGCTCATGCAGTGAAGGGAATGACAAGGGCCAGGTTTTCAAAGAGGATGTACCCACAAAACAATGCATTTACCTCACGCTACAGTGAAAACCATCACCAGAAGACAAAAAAAAGGACCTGCTGACATGTTAAATTGTTTATAGCAGCAATAAAAACTTTCTGCTGAACTTCCCCCTCCTTATCCCTCTGGGAGAGGGAGCGCAGCACTCCATCGGGGCACAGGAGCCCACTGCTGCCACCCTGAAATGGAGCATGATAAGCCCAAGAAGAGCAGGCCATAAATTGCAGGCAGCCTGGATTTTAAAGCTGTCCTCCCCAGACTGAATCCCTGATACTGTAATCTGCTCTCAGGTGTGGCAACCTGGGCAGGGGAGGCTTCAAACTGCAACCAGCTCCAACCAGGGAGGTGAATCAAGCCCTAAGAGCTCTGCATCTGTGCAAATCTGATCTCGCTGGTAATTGCTGCCCATATCTGCATGGGAACAAATTTTCTAGGGGGAGTCAATGGAGTTGTGCTTGTTTAAACCAGAAGGGAATTTAGATTCTCTGTGTGTTTTCCACAGGCTTCTTAATGCCTCAGTGAGCTATTGCTGGAGACCAAGTCCAAAGAGGATTGTTCTCCCCTGATATTTGCTCACCTCTAGTCCAAACTTATAGAAACTATAGTTGATAAAGTATTTGATGCAGCTGAGTAACCCATCATCCAGGTGCTCTCGGGTGATGGTATCAAAAATGATCCCCGTAACAGGTGGTGTCAGCTGGTTTTGAGTCCGGTAGAAGAGCTGGTGGTGATGCACAGTCACTTCTATTACCATTAATGCCAAGATGCTGAGATGGTTCTGCAAGGGCAGAATGAAATGGCCCAGATGTTAATGGCATCCTAAATGCAATATTGAGCAACCCACACTGAGAAAGGCAAACGGCAGGGCAAATGGAGCTTACAACAACTAAGCTGCTGTTCTGAGCTGTGTCTAGTCCATTACATTGGATGCCAGGGACTCTGCTTTTCCTCTATTCTGTGAAGTGCCAGGTACATTTACAGCACTATATAAAAATGTCTCATGCGAATAATAAGTGCTATGAGAAATTTATGATAAATGCTTCTTTTCTCTCCTGGAACATTGCAACATGCTGTCTTGGGAAAGAGTCTCCCATGGACTTCTCTCCCATAATACTGGAGTAGTAGCTAAGCTGGATACAGACCAGTGGCAATTTCAAGGAATAAGCTGTTCCTTGAGACCAACAATAATGACTCTTGAAGGTATGAAGAACATTTATTGGTGTCTCATCAGCTGCTGAAGCAGAATGAGAAGACAACCAAGTACAGCAGAATGGCTGAGAAAACCACCTCCTTTTCTTTGATCTCCTCTCTCTTCCATTTATCCTGTCATCTTTTTTATCACATCTTCTCATTAAGATCTAACCAGAATTTATTTTAAAAAAATTTTCAGATTCCCATGTTGCTCCCTCTTTCTATTTCAAGCTCCTCTTTCTGCTTGTGCATGTCAAAGTCTGACATATCAGCAGGGGGTTTGTGCTGAGTGAAGCTGCTGATTACCCCAGTTACTCTAGTTAGTAACAGTGACATCAGACAGCCCAATAAGAATCCTACCTTCAAGCAGGGTAAAGCATTGTCACCGCACTTCTGTAACCCTCCACACCAATCGGCAGGATCAACAGGAGCAACGTACAACGCTGATTTCTGCAACAGCTCGTCCAGGCTGTCATGATAGTAGGTTCTGTTCTGGTACAGTCCCTATGGAATGAAGCATGTTTGTCTGAAATACACTCTCAGAAACTAACCCCTTCAATAATAGGGGTAAGCACAAGTTCTAATAGCTCCCTACTGTGTTTAAAGTTTTTTTTATTTATATCCAGTATGTAATGCACACAAATGGAACAGATGCCTTCTAATTTAGCTTTTGTGGTAGGCATGGATAATTTTCTATTCCAAAAACTTCACCTAAGAGTGCTTGGTTTATTTCTTGCTTGGCAACACTTCTATGTGCATAGCTATCATTTATACATCTTTTAATTTTATAAGCCTACTGACAATTAATTTCTTTGCCCAGTAAGTAACATGAGAGAGAAGTGATTGAGTAAAGGAAATTAAGTTCCTTAGTGTACTTTGACCTACTACTGAAACAGGGTATGTTTAGTATGCAGCAGGTTCCACATGCACTATCTGTGCATGGCACATTGCAGCACAGTAAATTTACATCCCAGCTTGCCACACATGAAATATTTGTGTAGACGTGCCCTCAGTCAGGACTCATGAATCCTGGGTCTGCTGCTTGCTGTGTGACCATGAGCAAGTAACTTCTTTTTGTCTCAATTTGACATCACTTTGAAGCTCAGATACAAATCAGGTAGCTACCCATCCTGCTTAATATTTGAGACTCTAATTCTTTTGCCAACAAAAAAATTTAACCCACCAATTTTGCAGATGTGAAAACTGTAGGTATGAATTGTGCCCACAAAAGGAAGGTCTCCATTTATCTTCAATAGCCCCAGTTCTTTACTATCTTTCAACAAGCAAGTTTCAAAACTTTCCATTCCCTGTCACATTGCACAGGTGTTTATCAAATGCAAACCTACAAAAGCATCTCAGGAAAGCTTTGGCTGAGAGAACTGCATTCCCAGGTCTATGTTAACACTTGTCTTGTAGTGGCATGGAAGTTGCACATTATCCAAAGATATTCTTGAACTTGAAGGACACTGCTTGCTGGCTGGTCACAGATCTTTGCTGAGTGCGATGTACTAAGAACCCCATCCCCTCCCTAGGCTTCAGAGCCTGAACTCTAATCTGAGATGTAACATCAAAGCACCGCCTATACAGCTAATTTTAGAGGGCCAGAGTGAGCCTCACTGGTCAGAGTCTGTCGACCCAGGCTGGGAGGTTCGCTTTTGCTCACTCAAAATGCTACGCTAGATATATCACAAGTGGTTGCACAATCAGGACCCAAGTTCTTTAGAATGCTCACCTGCATACAGTTTGAGGAGTAGTCATGCGGCCTGACGAATTTCAACTGGTACATCATTTTACAGATAACCATCACACAGGACCAAACTGTGCAGATCTTTGATGCATGAGGGCGGAGCTTGGGATAGGGCAGGGCAAACACCCAAAGGATGAAGAAAGGGTAATTCATCAAAGATACCTAAAATCATTGCAGGAAAAAAATCAGTTGTTTCACTGTAACTTACCTCTTTGCCGGTGTGTTTGTGGGTTGAGGAATTCAGCTTGTGGTATTTGCAACACAATACAGAATAACAGATATACTATTAAATAAAGCAAAAGACTATTTGAGGAAAAAATATGCCCTGATGGTTTGGGATGGCAAGTAATACTGCTGGGCAGAAAGGTCCTTTCCTGATGTTTAGAAAATCTTGTCTTATGTAAATGTAGTAAGTGATATGTTTTCATTTACATTTTTCTCTTACTGATATTTAAGGATGACTTTTGACCTTGCAAGGGACTAAGTGACATTTAGGTCACTGTTATGTAGTTTCCTAGCTCTGTAAAATTTGATGTCTACAGTTTGCACAGACAGATTCATGAAAAACATTTATGAAAACCTGGATCTTAAGAGAAACAAACAGGAACAATTTGGGTTCTGATGAAGCCCTGTCTAACTAGCTATTTGCACATGCATTTAACTATGAAATCTTGGGTCTGACTTACATAAGCCACCTGAGTCTCAACTAAGGTTTATTCTGATGGCTGCAGGGAGGAAAGGAAACTTTGCTTAGCAAACCGAGAAGAAAACCAAGTAGGATCTAGTATGGCATATCGCATCATGATAAAAATTCTAAAACAAGTCAGATGGTGCCCCACATCTAGGCACAATAGCAGTCCCTGTGCTCTCCTGAATTCAAATAAACTTAACTAAAGGGGCAGGGAAGAATAGGGTCGAAGTGAGGCCATGGCTCTGTGTCATCCACCACAGAAGTTAGCAGAGCTGTTCTTCATCAGATGAGAGTTCATGCTACACCTTCTTTAAGGGAGGCATGCTGGCTGCACTCCCCGGGAGACCTTGGAGGCAGTGTGCAAGCTGGCACGTTAAAGGCACAGTGAAGCCTTGTAGCAGGTTGGCAGACTCTAGATCTCTACATATAAATGAACCCTTAATGAAGGGGCATTGGAATTTATAGCAGGGAAGTACCAGCATGTCAATTCAGTCAGGTCCATCTAGAATATACAGAAGTGTTTAGAACCTTCCAAGAAGCAGAGGAAACTAGGGAATGGGGGAGAGGTGTTGGATGTAAAACCCTAAAAACAGCCAGCTTGCAGAGATCATTTAGATTGAGGTTTGGTTGGTTGCTTGACTTAACAATAAAGCCAAACTCCAGGAAGCTGCTCAGGTTGGACAACATGCAGCATGTGTAGACCTCATTAGAAGCAGGAACAAACCCCCACTAATATACATTTCTATGTACTTAGAGGATTACAGTTACTGGCCTAAAATACAAACATAACTGGCCATGGCTGCTGATTTGGAGGAGATCTGAGTCTCTTGTAGCACCAGGAAAGGTGTTTGCAGAAAACAAATGATATTTTCAGGATCTTCATATTATTCACCAACCTCCTGGAGCGTGATCCAGATGACCCAAGTGGAAACAATTTTAAGGATGTGCAGCTCTAGGACTCTCCAGGCTAACACCTGAGTTTTATGAAACCTTTCCAAAAGCTGCAGGAGAACAGAAGCCAACTTGTCGATCACCAGGCTCCACTTATTAGGCCCTCCCACTAAGAAAAGAAAAGTGCTGGGTTAGTGCTTTAAAATAACTTTTAAAGATGATTTTGGAGACAGAACAATAGAAATCCTTTACTATTTTTACTGCTTTGTCAAATGATTTGTCAGCTATATCTTCATACTCCACATCAGAGTAAGGAAGGAAGAATTCAGGGGCGGCAGTATTGTGGTGGAGAAATATGGGATTAAACAGGTCAGCAATAGCTCATACATGGAGAGCTATTCCTTCCTCTGGCTTTGGTGACTATTTTGTATTGGCACAATTAAGCTTTAAGAAATAAGCTGTGAATTCCACTGTATCACAGTTCCTGCTAGAGCAAAATCAGGTTAGGAATAAAGAACAAAGCAAAATTGTATTTGGGGCCTAGATCCAAAAAAACTATATATCCACCATGCTTTATATCTCCATACTCACTAATCATTATTGCTTCCTATCACCTTTGTGTTTAGGGAGGACAAGGACTGCAAGTATCATCAGCCCTTGGGCAGGAATCCCACTGCCATACACCTACAATGCCTGAAGTCAACCCCTAGAATAAGAATACTCAAGTGCTTGCCGATAAACTACATAGTATTGGCTTTGCTCCATGTAAAAAAAAAAAAAATCATTCAACCAATGCTGCAATATCATATCATCACCTGATTTCTCCTGCTGAGCCCCTCCCAGGGGTTCATCCACTGTTGTCTTCTCTATCTTGTCCAAGGTGGTTTGATTTTCACCATGCAGTTCATTGGCTGCGAGCCTGTTGGGAACACAAGAAAGTTGCTAATGCCAGACAACTTAGACATTGATCCCTTTACCTTGTGGTGTTAAAGAGAGTTAGACATATGCTGATATTACACAAATTGTGATCCATTTTTAATTGTCTGCAACTAAACTGAAAGGGAACAGAATACAAAGTTGAGGTATACACCTGTGATATATGTATAATTTATGGGTGGGATTTTCAAATGAGCTCATGGTTTGCCTCGCTCTGCTCTGATTAAAATCAAGCAGTAGAACTCCCACTGAATTTAACAGGAGCAGAACTGAACCAAAGCTGAGCAAGTTTGAAAATCCCACCCTATTATGTTTGTAAATAATACTGCTGTGTTGTGAGCCTGGGGTCTAAACTAAAGCAAACAAATCTCATGTTAATCCATTTTTTAAAAAACCTGTCTCCACTATCTTCTTAGACATGCTATGACAGCACTGCATATCGGGAACAAGTGTTCCCAATGTCAGATTGCTAAGTACAAACTATACTAGTTGGTTCTACTATAAATTCATGGAGAAGTAACACAAGTAAATCCATTTACTTCTAATCAGAGCTACACCTATGTGTCATCCAGGCATCAAGAGCAAAATAGACTCCAATGAAGCATACAGAGAAATGCATTCCTCAGTGTCCTTTCATTCTCACCTGTTTTGCAGTTTCCAAATACTTTCTTTAAGCCTGAAAATTAAAAGCAGGAAAAATATAACATCCAAATATTGAATTTTATCTGTCTAGTTTTCTACAAGTACTAATATGAATCCCTTACAGATTTATGGAGTCTTTCATCCCAACAGGCCCACAGCAATTCACAAATTTATATATGGTCACGTTCATACAGTATCCCTGGTTATTAATAGGAATCAAACCCAACACCTTCAGCACCTACCACTCGAGCTATCAGTAAGCAGCTAACAGAAAGCAGCCAGTGATTATCCTTGCTGGGGAGAACCATTAGAGAGAGAGAATTCAACACACAAACAAGTGTTTTGAACCTACACTGCACCAACTACAGTGCATCCATCTTGAGTGAGGAAAGCAGCGAACTTGTACACAGAATACTGCCCTATAATACAGGAAAGAAAATGTTGGCCAGGACATGTATGGGAAGGTTATTGATGGCCTATTCCCTGTTTCTCCTTCCCCTCTCCATCAGTGACCTATTTTACTATCCTTGCTGAGCTCCATTGTGTGTTGTCCTACAGCAGAATGAACGACAATCAAAATAACGGTGTTGGATATAGTTAAAAAGAAAATGTTTGGAAAAGGGTGAAGAAATTAAATGAACTCACATGTCAGCCAAGAGATACACCTGAGTTTCAGTTTTCTTTTTACTAGAGAGAAAATATAGCATAAAGTCAACATATGTTCTCTTTAGCACATGGCTGACAGGATGTGCCTCATCCTCCCACATTATCTTCTGCATCACAATGAGGTTCAGCACAATGAGGTTCAGCAACTTTCCAAAAATCCCTCCAAAAATAAGATGAGACCAATATTTCTGGCATTATACAGAGTTCAATTTTCAAAGCTGGGTTACTAAATCAGGGAATGCATTTGTGCTTCTGGGTGCTCAAACTAACACCTAGGCACCTAACACATGTTTCAAGGATCTTTTTTGCATTTATGGGAATCCTCATGGGCATGGGGCTCCATGCTGGCATGGCCTAATGCAGGATTAAGGTTTTAGGCACCCAAGTTTGAAAATTGGGCCCTTTCTCTGTTAGGAACATTTACCTATGTTGCAAGCTATGTGTGGCAATGGTTCAGTGTGAAACTCATCTTCAGTAGAGCAATGTGCTCAGTGTTGCTCCCATTGAAATCAATAACAAAACTAACCAGAATTTCAGTGGGAGCAGGCTCTTTATGTACGTATCATATTTATTGGCATATTTCTATTATCCCCACCCCCTCCATTCAGGGGGGAAAAAACCACACAATATTTATTATCCAAAGAAAATCAACATGGAATATTTTAGGTATAATAGGAGTCATTATAATTCATTAAGGGAAAGGAACACATTAATGTATTTCCACTAATAAGATTTCCATGAAAATTCCTGCCAATATTTTAGAAAGTAAGGAAAGCTTATGTTGTTCTCTTCTTGTCTGACTCTTATTTTGAGGCAAATTTTCAAACAAGGTTTCCATACCAATGCACCCAGAAAGCCCCAGAATTTTGCATGGAAAGAGGAATTTTTGAATGCAAAAGTGGGATTACTGTTCACACCTCTTTATGGGCACAACCACTGTGCATGGCTTTAAAAATTTGGCCTATTATGTTTAAAAGACCAGATTTCAAATAAGTGAGGCATAGTAATTGCACATTCATATATGTGACCAGTGTGTATATGAAATTCCCCCAGCTGAGTAAGTGCAGGACAAATTATCACTATTAAGTATTTATTTCTGGAGGTACCATTTTGTATGTGCAGCTGTAATAAAAGCATGCACCGATTAGACTTGCTGTAATTGCCAGCCTAACTTATCTGTAAAGTGCCTTTGTTCCTCCATGTGCATCAGAAAACCAATATAAATTCTTGTAAATATATAAACTGTAAAGCACTTTCAAGTCTCATTTTCCAGCTGATAACGCTTCGGTAAGGACATGCTCACATGCTTGGCAGTTTACCAATGTGCAGATCTGGTCACATACCTGCCAAAAGTACATTCATGCTTGATGGGAATGTTACTCAGGTCAGTGATCTTCAGAAAATCCTCACTAAAGTAATGAAGCTGAAGGATGCAGGCCAGGAGAAAAGTGGAAGGAAGCAGAATCTTAGCAAACAGTTCTACTGTGTCATACTGTTCAAGACCCAGGTCTTTTAACCTGTCAGGTAAAAAGGAAAAAGCCTTTCACAGGTCAGCCTTATTAACTAAGGGACAAATTTCTAGTAAGGATACAGAAAAAGGTTACTCTAGAATATAGTGAGGTAGCTAGTTATATGGAGCTACTATATAATAGACTGATCTCAGTTTTAATGAGCATCAAAGAGATTCTTCATTGAGGCTTTCTGGATGCAGAGAGACCATATAGTTCTCTCTAGATCTCAAGATTTCAGAAGACTGATGGAGCCTTGTGCTACCAGTCATGGTCTTCCTAAATCCTTTCCTGGATTCTGAAGTCATGGCAGGGGCTATTCACTACACTTCATCTACAGAGATACACCCTTTTATTTTCAATGTTATCTTGAGTTCACATAAAGAACCCTGTTGTCTTTTTCGAGCACAGAATGTTATTCCCAAATTTCCTTCCTGCTGTCTCTCTCTTTCTCTAACCTCAGGAAAGATCCAAGTCCAACTTTGTGTGGGGGAATAAACTCCATTGATCTTAGAAAATCTACCACTATGTGGCTACAATTACTGTGAAAACCCTCAAACTATTTAACCAAACAAAGTACAGAGTCTTTCCAGAAAAGCTGGTTACAATATTTTCAAGCTAACATCAGCAATAGTTCCCAAAAGAAAAAAAGATGATGAGTCCCTCAAGCAAGCCTGGGGTTTGTATTTCAGCAAGTCACCCATTGTGGTTTGTTTGGGTTATACCCTACATCCTCCTGCCTTAGCCACATCATTGAAAATACAGAAACCACTGGGAGCTGTTGTACATTCTCATAAAGGAAATAGGGTAACACACCCTCACTGCACTATTAATCTCATAATAATGCTGTGAATTTATTGGGCTTTATCAAGGGAAGTGCTGAGGTACTCAGCTCACACTGAAATCAGAGGAGGCACTTAGCACCTTATAGGACTGGACCCATACTAGTCCTTTCATCCATGCGCCTCAGTGTGGCGACAATCATTAACTAATACAACATAGCTCAAATTTACTGACATTCCAGGCACATACTTACTAACCTTAACAGGCTTTTAGGCACTGATCCAAAGCTTGCTGAAGTCAAAGGGAGTCTTTCCATAGGCTTTGGAATCAGGCTGTTGGGGATGGGATGGGCTCACAGGATGTGATAAGGGAGGTTGTAATTTAATTGCGCTATAAAGGAGTGATGGGGTAGGAATTATGATTGAATGGTGATCAGTGTAACAGTGTGTATGAGCTCTTTAAAAACAGGTCTACTGGCCTGCAGGGCATGCTGGAAAAGAGGACCTGGTTTATAAACCCTTTTGTCCCTCATCCCAGAGAGGTTTTGAGAAGAGTGGTAGCTGCTGGTGGATTTCTCCAGGACAGACCTAGGAACTGAGCAAAGGTATCTGAGAAAGGTCTTGGGGCTGGGTAAAGATGAAAACCTTTGGCAAAGGAGTTTTTTTAGGGCTTTGCCTAGAGTTTTCTTCTCCTGGGTGAAGTGACCAGAGTTGTGTCTTCCTGCTGAGGAGGGGGAGGGGAAGGAAAGGAAGCCCCACATTCCCCACTTCAGCGGAGGGAGCCTGTGATCAAGTAGCCAAGGATCCACCCAGGGACTGTGTATTTTGGGCCTTCTTTTCTTTGTTTATGGTTTTTTTACATCAGCCTCTAGGGTGGAAATGCCTCGGTGAAGAAACCCGATGAGGAGGCAGTGTGTATAGTGAACTCTTGTAGTCAGGCTGCCCAGTTGTTTACTTGGGACTTTGGATATCCTGCAAGGGGTGGCCTTGTAAGTTTGGCTAAAGGGCTAAAATGTCCACACCCATCGGGTACTGATCCTGAAGGGAATCTAAGGCAGCAGCTATACCTGATGATGGAGAGATAAGAACCAGCTACTATTAGCAATGGATGTTAGTGGCTTCATGTAACTGTTGGGGTGGGGGACACATAGTGTGTCGAGTGATCCAAGAGCCAGATACTGATATCTTTACTCATGCTGTGTGACTCACACTTACTTTGAGTTCTCTACTGAGAAATCAGTAGCTATCCTTAAGGAGTCGGGGCATTTGGAGAAAGGGTACCTGAATAACCAGTCTACACTGTGAAAATGATTCTTTCAGCCTTGAAAAATTCCTCCTCTCATCTTACCTGGGGTGAATAATTTTTGGATGGGCCAATAAATGTTCATTTATTCCCCATCATGGTCATCGTCATGCTTAATTCAGGTGAGCAGATTCTGAGGCAGATCCTCATTGGCAAAGTTCCATTTATGTCAATAGCACTATTTGTGGTATAGGGCACTATTCAGGGTGAGTGAGCATATCACAGTCTGGTCTATAATCTCTGTGTTGTCTATTAGACTGTAAGGTCTTTGGGGTAGGGACTGTAGCTTGATATGTTTGTATACTACCTAGCACAGTGGGCCCTAATCTAGGGTTGATGCCTCAAAACGCTACCATAATACATATAAATAATATAGATTCCTAGATAAAATGAGTGAAATAGGATTTCCAGGAGGATAATTTTGTTTCATTTCTTTAAAATATAATTAGAGTCCTTACCCCTCCTCTGACAGTCCCAAAGTCAGGAGCAAGGACCCAGAAATGGTTTTGAATTGGTAGGCGTACACAGCAATGAGGACCACCATTGAATAAGAGACAACAGTGAGCCAAAAATACTTCAGAATTCGTCTCCACCACTCATAGTGAACCTGAAACCAAATGCATCTCAGATTAGATGAACCTCAGTTTGTTAAGTAAACTGAAGACAGCCCACTGACAGCATCTAGGTCAAATCCCCTCTCCTATCCAAAATGCTAAACTGAGAACTCCTATTGATGAGTCTGGAACATTTGACAAAGTGTGTGTGTGTCTCAAAGGTTTCCCAACAAAATGAGCAGCTTGGATATCTATTCTATTTGAGACAGTCATTTCAATTCAAATTGAATGGTAGCCATAGCAAATGAGAAGCTTCATAGACTAAGGACAAAATATAGGCCAGTAGCTATATCAAGATAATCATACTGTAGGCAAAGCAGGATACAAAAGGGCAAATCCATAGCTGGTGCAAATTGTCATAGCTGCATTGAAGTCAATCGAGCTATGACAATTTACACCAGCTGTGGATCTGCCCTGCAGGAAACAAAGTGGAGAGTGTGAGAACTTTAAATTCCAGGTTGCTTACCTGATATAAAGCTACACAGAACAGAAAGAGCATAATGTACAGAATTTTGTAGACCACTACTTTGCCATTGAAACTGACAATGAAAAACATGGCAGCGCAGAAATAGATCCAGTATTTAACCAGCATTCCTTTAATCAGAGAGCCAAATATTTCCAGCAGAGGATTGTGCGGGATTTCCCTTTCTGTAAAAAGAGCAATGCAAATCTGTCAGGTGTGACACTAGGATGTGCTTGGTTATTGTAACATTCTAATACCTTTATTAACATTCTACATTCCTAGGCTAGCAAATATCTATCCTAATGTGTTTAATGTCCCATGTTAAACTATGTCACAGACTTAGATTGCAACTGTGTCATATACTTAGATTTTGGGGCAGGGACCAACTTTTTTGTTCTGTGTTTGTACAGCACCTCACACAGTGGGGTTCTGGCCCAGGACTGGGGCTAAAGTAAGCAACAATGCTAAAGTAAGACAAATAAATAATATAGCAATATAATGTATTGCTAATATAGTAATAATATTGCAATGGCTTCCTGGGCCCTATTAGGGCTATATTAGGGCTTGTTAAATGACCTAATACGTCAAGAGATTTGGCATCTTCTGTATGGAATCATAGACTATCAGGGTTGGAAGAGGAGGACCTCAGGAGGTCATCTAGTGCAACCCCCTGCTCAAAGCAGGACCAATCCCCAATTTTTGCCCTAGATCCCTAAATGGCCCCCTCAAGGATTGAACTCACAACCCTGGGTTTAGCAGGCCAATGCTCAAACCACTGAGCTCTCCCTCCCCCGCAATGGTGACTCATAGGAACAACGGTGATGGGGAGCTAGAACCACAACAGGCAGATGGAGTATCAGGGTGGTCTGATGATATAGTGTTACATTTTCTTACCATTCGCATCCACGGTCACTTCTGTGAGAGTTTCTTGCTTCTCCTCCATATGTCTTTTGATCATATGCTGCCTTAGCAATAGCCAGAACGTGAATGCATAAAAGATCTGCAGTGAAACCACATTTGTGCCTTACTTTTTCATGGAAAGAACCCACATAGAAATGCAAATAACTCCTCTCCCTAGGAATATAGATTCCTAATTCTCTGTCCCAATGAAGTGGAAAAATTAGTAGCACAGTGGGAAAAAGAAAAAGCTGGTCTAGTGCTTAGATTTTACATATGTTTAAATTATAACTAAGGAGCAGAATCTAGGTTGCAAGGTCTTAGGGGTCGCACCTATCTTTTATTATGTGTTTGTATAGCACCTAGCACAGAGGGGTTGATCCCAGGCACTACTGCAGGACAAACTGAGAACAATCATTTGCAAACCAACTTTTTTAGTGATAACATTGTTGCTTTATTTGTTGCCAACTTAATGAGTCTGGCTTAGGCAGAAGGCAAAATGTGGCTTCTGTGACACCATCCCAAATGTTCTTCCTCCCCAACTCTGGTATAAAAACTACACAAGTCCTGAGGTGAAGTCTATAAAGAGAAAATAAAACCTCCCTGTGAGGATTTATTAATTCATAGGGATTCTGGTTCACCTTCATTTTCTCTTACACATACTTGATCTTAACTATTTGCCACCACTTCTTGCCTCCACTTCTTGGCCTCTCTTACAAAGTCCATTTTTAACCAACTGAGTATTAACCAATCTCCACAGGCTAGAGATGAGCCTGGATCAAACCCCTGAACTCTGGGAGAGTTTGGACCCAGATCTGAATTTTGCAGCTGGCCTCAATCTGTGTAATGCACTGAGACCAAAAACCAAATCTGAACACCCTGAACCTTTCAGCAACTTCAGATATATATCTGGTTCCAAATTTTGTGGCTCAGACCCATCTCTTGCTAACCAGGCACACTGTGCTGAATCAAAGCCTCATAAAAGTCCAAGCAAATTAAGGCAACTTCATCAGGCCCTTTCTGCTTTCACTACCATTCTTTCAAAGAAATGAATTGGGTTTGATAAGTACATGATGACCACACTGTGTAAATCTCTTGTGACTATCTCTATCGAGTCTGTGAGTCTTTCTCATTTGGTCCCTGATCACAATCTCAATTTTTTTCTCCCAAAATGGAGACGCAACTTATAAATATGTATTTTCTTGGTTCTTTCCTGTGTCTGCATTACTAGCATTGCAATTAAATGAGAAAACACCAAGGCTGTACCTTAACACCAAGATGCACACATGGGAAAGAATATGGTTTTAAATCAAAGTCAATGAGCACGGAGGTTGGAATTTCAGGAAACAGTTCTTCTTGTGAAATATTAAACCCTACAAAGAAATTGAGGATCACCAGGATATTCCCATAGATGGCAAGGAACGGAGAGCTACGCATGGCATAACGACGCCGGTCACGAACCATCCAAATGATACAAGACCAAATCAGCAGAACAAAAGTCAGCCAGCTGTTGTGGGTGATGCTCCAAACCTGCAAACAAATACATCTAAGTGAAAGAATGCTGCTGTTTAAATCTTAATGAAGCTAAAATCAGGGATAGCTGAAAAGCAAGAGGCGTATTACCAGCTTCAGTCTTTAATTTTGCACTCCACTTTGGCACATGCCCCTGTGGCCACAAAAGTGAACATATTTCTATTTCATGTCCCGCTATCATGCAGCTGGACAACCAGCAGCCTGATTTGCACCCAGGTGCAGGTTCTCTGCGTGTAACACAGGTACATGCACTCATCTGTGCAAAGGGGGACACAAAATGGTAGGCCAGTTTGAGATTAGCTGAAAATTTAGCCCAAAGTGCACTGCCCATTACAAAATCAGAGTAGATAGGATTTCTTATGACCAGATATGCATTTTCTATTTGTGTTCTTCATTGCAATGGCAAGGGGAGAATATTCTCAGAGCTTGCTCTGAAAGTGAATTTGCTGTGGATTTACTATGTAGCAGATCAGAATCCAGTCATTGCTGTATTACTCCTTACTAACATTTTACTCTGCAATGGGCAGTGCTGATCTATTCACCATTCCTGATTCTACAACACATTCCACATGCACAATATATGCATAATTTTGTTGGGCTTCATGAAAGTAGTGCAGAATATGAAGCCTTGCCCTAGAAGAAAGCAGTGAATCCGTTTCTTACAAGGTTTTGAGACACTCTACAATGTTTTCCAATGAATGTATTCCACGCTATAACAAGCTCTTTAGGAAGGCAAATGGAAAACAGAAAATGACAAGAAGGTACAAAAAAGAGTTCCATCAACTCCATATCTTACCATCATGGCAATCAGTGCACTGACATAACTTTGATTCATAATGAACTGCCCCAGTACTGCCATACTGCTAGTCCCATCCCCATCAGCGTCTGCATTTTCAGGGCAGGTGCTATCCTCTGTAAGAAATGTAAAGTGTATAGATAAGGTGATTGAAAGGTCTCTAGTACACAGCTGAGCCCTTATTTTGAGAATTGATGGTATTCTGTATCCTTTAGAAGTCTTGTCTTAGGGGGGTGTGTTTTGTGACTGCACTTAAGGAGGTATGCGTGCAACTCCCCTGAACTCTGGAAGGAGTTGACCATACCTCCACAGATACTGTGTAGAAAATATACCTCCGAAATAATCAATATTAAATGGATGGAGATAAATTCTTGCTTTACATGTGCAAATATAACTGCCCGTAACGCAAACTCATTTACCTGCAGCTTTTGCCTTGCTGCAGGTATCATCTAATGCACAAGACTCCTTGGCCTCACCCACCGAGGATGCTGCATTCCACACCTCATTCAAAAATTAGCTTGTTTTCCAAGATGGCAGTGACAGAGCCAGCTGTAGAAGGAGGAGCCTGGTCTACCTGTATAACCTCAATCAGAAAAATGTACTGGGAGATGCTGTGAGTATGACAAATGCAGAATGAAATCAAATTCTTTCTTTCCTAGTCTTCTTGGTGCTGCCTGCTTTCCAAGATGATAGATGCCTACTACACTTCATGGTTTGTGTGTCATGCTTTTTCATGCAATGATTCAAACATCACTTTGAGATGTACAGTACCTGAGAGAGGAGCGCTGTGTCCTTCACTGGTGTCCGCACTGGCTGTGAGGCTCCTGCCATGTTCACACTGTAAAAGGGGCGTGTCCTGCCAGCTTCCATTTGAAAAATAAGCCACCTAGAAAAGGAAATAGAATAGTGTTTCTCCTGCCTATCTTTTCTACAGACACTGTGCCATGCATTAGTCTAGGATGCTGGTGTGACAGATTTGGAGCTACTCTGTAATTGATGAATACTGTATGTTGACCTGGCTATTGGGATGTTTATTGTATGACTATACTGGGGACTAACAGGAGACTGGCAGTGGGGAAGCAAGAAGGGAAAGAATGGCTCAAGATAAGCCACTTCGCAGCAAACACCTGAGAGTTTTTAAGAGAAAAAGCCAGGACGGGAAAAGTCCTGCAAACATAGGAGGTCAAAAGTGGGAGGCGGTTTGGGAGAACCAGACTAAGATGGAGGCACAGTGAGGTATCTGAAGAAGTTACACCTGCATAGATTACCACTGGGAGATGATACGTTTTTAAGTAAGAGATGAATGTGGACTGTTTGGTTGGTTAAAATCCTTTGTTCCTACTGTTAGAATAAACAATATGTGGTTTTCAGAAGGCTGTCTGAGCACAGCGTTCACCACTAGTCAGACTCCCAAAGGGAAGAACTGCAGGGGCCCAAATTCAGTAAGATTTCATGTAACTATGTAAGATCAGTTGATACATAGGGTACTGTATCCCAGGGCCCAGCCTAAGAGTGGAAGAATTGCAATAGTCCACGCTGGGGCAGGAAAAGGCACAAGGCCTGACACCTGAAGGAGTGTACTCAGAGACCAGAAAGGAGACAGAGATGCAGCTAGCCCTATAAATGTCACAGCTGGTTTCCAGAGTGCACCAAGAAAACAGTGAAGCGAAGTGACTGCACCCAATGTGGTGTCTATGGGAGTTCTTAGATGCTCAGCAGTCTCGGCAATCCAGCCACTTACTGAGGTGTCTAATTACGGATTTAAGGGCCTACCTTTAGGCATTCACTGGTGAAAATGTTGGCCCTTCGTACAAAACCCAAATTCTGAACCATTAATATCCCCTGTAACAGTTGCAGAAACCTTCTTAAGATAGCCATTACCTTTTTCTTCTCATTCTTTGCCATCCAGAGCATGGTGTCCACCTCCAACTTACTCTGCTCTTCTGGTGGTGACTGGATGCCCTCTTCACATTCCTGTATTAAAGGAAATATAACAGACAGATGTCACACCACCTCTGGATACAGCTACATGCCATCCAATGCAATTGTTACGGCACTGTTACTGGCTATCACCCTTATTATATTCCATGGACATGATCCAGTTGGGAACTGGAACAGCAGACATGGCCTGTTTTCACATTTGTGCAGTGCACAGGACAAGAGGGATGAATATTTAAAGAACTTCTTGCCAGGCCTCCCTCATAAATTCCAGGGGGGGAATGGAGAAAGCATATGGAAAGACAGATTTTTTTCTTGATTTCTCTCTTGAATATGGCTGTATTTAATTATGGTGCCATTTGTGATCTGTCCTGTCCATTCTGCACTTTGACCCATGCATTACCTTAGGACTCAGAGCCCACTGCTGTAGCAACAGGACCAGTGAATAATACAATACAAGCAGCAAAAGAGGATTTAAAAACACAGGCCAGCTTAATCCAGAATGAATCTGCAGCTTCCAGATTTCTGTGGTGTTTGTCTTGATAAGCGCCACCATCCCCAGGAGCCTGGAGAAACAAAAGTTGGAGACAGTGCTAACACTGGTTGTGTTCTATAATTTTTACTATTGCTGTTTTATTATTTAGAATTTTTAAGAATAGTGTCAAATAATACTAAATACTTTACTACTAAAAATAAGATCTCACTGATCATCCTCATTTTTATTGTTCTGTCAAACTGCCTTTATTTGCAACTCAGAGTAATTATTAAAGAGACCATGACAAATTCCTGATGCACCCTAGTGGTTAGAGAAGGCGACTGGGCATGAGTCCTCAAGTGACCTCCTGGCCCACTGAGGTCAACAGCAAAACTCCCATTGACTTCAATTGGGCCAGGATTTTTCTGGATTACATTCTATTCTCCTGCCACAGTTTTCCTGTGTGACTTTGGGGAAGTTATTTAGCCTCAGCTCCTCCATTTATAAAATGGAGATGATGATGATAAAACACAGAAGACTTGTGGCTTAGTTAATGTTTATAAATTGCTATGAACTCCTCCGATAAAAGGTACTAGGCAACAGCAAAGTAACGGAAGTCCTAAAAGCTTAAAAGAAAAAATGTTCCCTACAGATCTCTCTCCTTGGGAAATGTTGATATGTTACTTGTTTTTATACTGCCTCAGTGGGTCAACTTAGGATCTTTCATATATATTTCAATTCTGCCTTTAGAGCAGTTTATTTAAAAGTATTAACCCTATCCTTTTCTGTATGGAAGCTGACATCTTTACCTGGCATAAATGTCATCAGGAGGAACCAGGTCCTGAAAATATGGCAACTGGTACAGGTAAAGGGCAGCAAGGTGACCTGCACTGAATATAGCCATCATCACACACAAACTGCTGAAGGTGACCACGGTAATGGGACGATGACAAGCCCACCAGGAGCACAAGCCGAGAAAGGTGAAAAAGTAGACTGCAGAAGTCACAGAAGGCAAAATTATACCTAGGGGGGAAAAACCGGCCATGAAAGGGCTTCTGTTCCACAGCAAACAGGATACACAGATCAGGCCAAAGTGGCTCCTCAATTGATGGACAGTGACCCCAACTAGTAAGAGAAGCCACTGTGAAAGTGCCATTTATTAATTTCCATATGAATAAATATTAAGCAAGCAGAACACAGTCTCAGGTGATGCCTTCAACCATCTTAACTAACTAGAAAAGAAAATGAGACCCTCACAGTTTTCAGTGGGCCAAGGGACTTGCCCATTGCAGACAAATTCCCCTCTCCAACCTCCAATGAATAGCTGTGTAAAGGTCTCCCTGCAGCTCTGAAAAGGAAATTCTGCCCTATAAGTGATTGCAATTTTGCAACAATAACCTATGACAATAAAGGCTGACAACAACACAACAATGCATAGATCAAACAAAAAAATAACTGGGCAACAGCAAATAACAAGCAATGGAGATGAAAAGGATTGCTTCTAGCTGCTTGTCTTATTTTTCATGCTTTGTTTACGGGATGAAGACTCTTTCTTCCTTTTAACCTCCTGCTTTAACATTCTTACCTGCTAAGCCTAATAGAAGAGTTGCTACCACCTTTCCAGCACTTGTCAGGATGGCTTCAAATATGATTTTCAAGCCTGCTAGGAATGTAGTGACTTTCTGAATGAAACCTGGTTTTCGGTCACGTGCCTCTTTTCCCAAATCCTCTTCAGATAAACAGTTGGTCTCTTCCTCATCACTGTCTCCTTCTTCCGTTTCATAGTCCTGTGGAAACAAGAATGTCTAAGCAAGATCCGAGCATGAAAACCAAGTGTTGCCAGACAGATTCCAGGACTATGGTTTACAGCATGGATATGCTGCAATGCAGCATTAGGCACAAAAGGCTACTGAAAAACATAATGGCCATGGCACATTTGAGTCCCTAAATACTTCACTGAAACCATACAGTCTGAGGTGTGAGCGCTTGTTCCTGTGATCTCATCAGGCTAGACAGACAGTCATGAATAGGGAGAAAGCAACTCTCATGTCTGAATACATAAGGCAGGACTCACTCCACTGGCTTAAGGAGTGGAATTGTTTCTTTAGTTCCCTGCATAGCGGGCCCACTATGGAGCAGTCATCGGGTTTTGTTTCTGTAAGTGAATGTAATCCAGTGTCCATGTGGCTCCCACACACACAGCCCAATTCATTTTGCCCCAATGTCCAGTGGGTTAGCCTGTTGAAGTCTCTTAATTCATGTAAGAGGATGCTGAACATACCACCTCCTCCTCATCCTCCTCCTCCTCATCCTGCTCCTCCTCATCCTGCTCCTGGTCTTCAGAATGAAGCCGCATTTTGGGAATAAGAGGTTTCACCTGTTTTTTACAAAGCTTTATAACCATGAAGCCAGTGAAAAACATTCCAATGTCAGGAACCAGCAGGCGGATGACATTTCCAGCATCAACTTTGCTGAGCCTGCAGAGTGGAAAGCACATGAGTGAAACATGAGGCTAGTGCTCAGAAATGACAGTCTAATTTTTCCAAATGTTCCTGTAATAATTAATCTGAAAACTAATCCCAGAAATGCATCTGTGCATTTAAAAAAGGACCTAAGAATGAAGTGCACTTGGTTATCCTATTGCAATTTGCTTTATTGTAGTTTCAGTATTCCACAGCAGAGTACAATACCACATTATTAAATAGCAGGTAATATTACACTTAGATACTGAGCAGAATTTTTTAAGATGTCTTTTTTTCCACAATTGGCATTGAACATCTGCTGAAATGAAGAAATATAATCTTCAAATCTCTTGATCTTTTATTAGCAGAGCGTGAGCAAACTAAGGGTTTTATTATAAACACAGCTTATAACATTTGCAACATTAAGAAGAGAGTTATTGATACTCGGTATTTACATTTTTTTTATTGTTTTTTGTTATAAAAGTCAGCCATAGAACACTTGGTCAAAATTACCAGCTCCAGTGGTGTATGTTTCAAGGTCATTTAGTCTGCATCTCTGGTTCAAAGGGCGTTAGAATTTGTAGTGTATTTTTTTCAGAGCAAACCGTCAAGCCTGGCAAAGTGGAGACCTCAGTAAAGAAAATTCAATGGATTTTTTTCCCCACACCAATAGGATAGAAAGGTTTTTACAGCTCATTCAGATCAGCAAAAAAAGAGAGATCTCCAATATTAACAGACAATCCCATCTGCAACATCTAAGTGTATATTTAATTGACCATACTTGCTAAATCAACCACTAAAATAATATTGCTCTTATTTTTAAGTATAATACAATAGGACCTAAAGGCCCCAGTCAGAGTCAGGCCCTCTGTGTGCTAGGCACTGTACAAACACGTGATAAGGAGATGGTCCCTACCCTAAAGAACTAATTCTCCCCTTCAAAATGTGCTCACATAGCTTGCAGAAGGATTGTAATTCCCTACAATACTAGGGTTCTCATGTATAATTTGTGCTTTCTTACGGACCTAAACAAATCTGTGATATTATTATTAAGCATTCAATTTTCAGTGTCTACATCTTAAAAGAAGAGACATGCAACTGATATCCTACCTTAGAATTCCAAAATGACCAAGCACATCCTCCCAACCATAGCCTAATGGAAAAGAACAAAGAGACCTGTTTATAAACTGATTCCCTAATGCAGTGGTTCCCAAACTTGTTCTGCTGCTTGTTCAGGGAAAGCCCCTGGTGGGCCGGACCAGTTTGTTTACCTGCCGCATCCACAGGTTTGGCCGATCACGGCTCCCTGTGGCTGCGGTTCACAGCTCCAGGTCAAAGGGGCTGCTGGAAGCGGCGGCCAGTACGTCCCTCGGCCCGCGCCGCTTCCAGCAGCTCCCATTGGCCTGGAGCAGCAAACCGCGGCCACTGGGAGCCATGATCGGCCAAACCTGAGGATGCGGCAGGTAAACAAACCAGCCTGGCGCACCAGGGGCTTTCCCTGCACAAGTGGCAGAACAAGCTTGGGAACCACTGCCCTAATGTTTTCCAACCCAAACATTCATTCTCATCAATAGGCTTGCGTCTCGCTTTCCTGCCTGCATCCTTTTGAAAAGTAAATCTATAGACAGTGGAAATACTGCATAACATGCAGAACAGTAAAATAGGGAGGGCTTTTGCTATTGTCTTCAGTGAGTGCAGTATAACACCCCAAAACAAGATTCATTGATATGGATCACTTTATACGGCAACAAAACTGGGGTGAAAGGAATATAATCTATTTTACTTTTAAGGACTTTCAAAAGACTTCCAAAGAACATGCTTGCATTATTTGCACAAGCAAAATGCTTCGTCTGCACATGTAAAGCATGTGGGTCAAGATTTCCGAAAGGGACTAGCAATTGTGGGATTTCAGTGGCATTGAAGCACATTTAAATGCATTAGGGGCACCTTTAGGAGCAATGAGAGCTGTATCTGAACTGCAACATTTGGACCCAGGGTTTGTTTGAGCCCAGAGTAGAAATGCAATCAGAGGAGAAGTTGAGATCAATCAAAATCCTTTATAGCTCAGGGGTAATTGGATCCAGGCCCATCTCTAATGATGGCATTCTGCTCCCGTAGATGAATTCCTTGGGCTCTTTACCATAGGATAAATTATTGCAGTGGAAATGAAATTTACCATTAGGTGGCAGATAGTAGAATGCAATCTGAAACACCACTTGGATCATAAGGAAAGTGAAGCTGGTGTAATTTATCGCTCTAAGGAACTGCTGTGTGCCTCCTGAAAAATAAAATGCTGGCTTTGTTACGATAGCGCACCAAGAATCCTACGAAACATGACAAGCCAAGGTCCCTGCCCTAAGAACTAACAGACTAAATCAGATGGATACAATGCATGGGGCAACAGCTCCCTGCCCTTCCCAACTGCACTGTGAACAAAAACAATTCCACCCACAGAAAGGCCAAACATCCACCAGCCCAAGGCCCGTGAGTGGGGCCATCCCCCAGGACTAATAAATAGAAAGATATACAACTGCAGTTATGCTCTTTAAACATCAAATAAAGGAAGTAAATAAGAACTTAGCACAATGTGCCTCTATAGAATTCTACAAGGTGGAATCTACTTATTCAATTAATTTAATTTGTTTTAACACAATATTGATAGTCTAGAACTTGAAGGCGGTCACCTACCTTTCATTGTGACAGCTGTAGGCTTGGGGAACAGTGGAATAAGCAGTAGAAAGATGAGATAGGCCAGAGACAGCCCGTTGTATCTGAACGATATCGCTGTGAAATAATCAAACTGACTTTAACTGAGACATAAACTGGAATAAAAACGAAGCCTATGAATGTATGTGTCATTAACACTGGATCAGTAGAGGAATTTAGATATTTTACTTCAAAGATATCGCTCATTCCCTCTAACTTCTAACCATAAGACTACCCCACTCTTTGGTACAAGAGCCATGATTATGTATTCTGTTATTTTGCTCTGCCTCTTGCTTCTTTGATTTTATTTTTTGCCCCTTGTTATCTCTTCAGTTAATCATTCTCAGATTCATTTTTCTTCTTTATTACTATTTTGATGGACCCATAATATCCTAGGTGCTCTGCGGACATATAGCAAGATACACTCCCATTCCTAAAGTGCTTACAGTGTAAAGAGACAAACACGGGGGGAAAGAGTTGCTGTTCCAGTGGCTAGGACACTAGCCTTGGACTCAGAAGTTCCTTACTCTGCCACAGACTTCCTGTGTGATCTGGAGCAACTCACTTAGTCTCTGCTTTAATTCCGCATCTGTCAAATGCGCATAACAACACTGCCCTACCTAACAGGGGTATTGTGAGGATAAATACATTAAAGACTGTTTGTTGCTCAGATAGCTTGCTAATGGAAGCCATATAAGTATCGATGGTAACTATGAAGAGTTCTGGAAAGTGATAAAACATGCTCTACAATCAAAGTGATGATCACTTGAATTATCACATGAATCAGTACCATTCCGTAATTAAGGCTCTGTTGTGGCCTGATGTCATAGTGCAGATTAAATGTCTTTATAATGTATGAAAAAGATTATCCTTACCACACTTACAGCAGTCACTCTTAGGATAAAGATTTAATCATAAGTAATCAGATGTATGAACTGAGGATAGGTATAGGTTTGTATTGGCAGGGAATATGTTGTGGTGGTATGTAGGAAGGGAATATGGATGAGTATGTGGTTGTGAATCTAGATTTGGGGTAGTTTGGATGCAAACTTTTCCTTTGCCAGGGATTTTTAAGATTTTTGTGTTGTGATTATATAGATGAGAAATGCGCTTGAAGCATGCTTGATTTTAATGAAGGGTTTTTTTGAGGGGAGGAGATATAACTATTCCCATGTACCCCTCTGTCTATAAACACACAGTATAATCCTGCACTTCTTATAACAGCTTGCACTGAAATCAAAGGGATCCTGGTCTTATGAAAGAGTTGGGAAATGGACCACTAAACTTTAAAATGTATATTGACCTCAATCCTCCATTTCAAGTCAATTTTCAATAACACATGCAAACCATTGAAAATATGCATTTCATTTAATCAGCTATAAAACTAATATTACCAAGTTAAAAAACAACAACAAAAAATTGGCCAGCTTTGCAAGGCAAAGTATTTTTGCTGTGGAAATTCACCTTTCAAGCATTGTATTTGGAAAAGAAACCTAGATTATAAACCATACAAAGAAATGTATAATCCAGACCAATTTTATGTAATAAATGTAATAAATATTATGAAAACAGTAATGAAGTTGCAGGTTTCTACTTTCAAGGATTGTTTACTTATACAGGACGTAGGACAAAGCTGCAATTAATCTTTAGCTGATATATTTTTATGATCAGTTAACCCTAATATAAACTTGTACTATTATATGCTAAATTTCCTAAATGTAGCCTCTTGCTCTGTTAGTGCAAAGTATTACTGAATACATTAAATACAAAGTGTTTTTCAAAACAAAAGTGTACAACAATAAGAAATCAAGCCACAATAAGAAAATATGAACTTAGGAGAGCAGGTTTGCCTGGTGCGGTAAAGACAAAGCTATCTGAATTGAAACCTGCGTATGAAATTGACTAGTAGAGTAGAACAATGAAAGAAAATATTTTGTCCATGCGTTTTTGCCAGGATAGAGTTATATGATTAAAACTTAAGAGATATAGTAGCTGTACAAAAACAATAAGGTCTCAGCAGGATAAATTAAATTATAAATGGATAAATTAAATTATAATAATATAGTGCAATTTTATCAATTCACATTTTATAATCAGGGCCTTCATTAGAAGAATACACTAAACAGACCTTCACTAAAAAAGACCTATCAACTGAGCAAAATAGGATTTAATCTGAGGGCCCTCAAAGGGGGGCCATGATATTTTGGTAGTGATCCTTCATTGCAAAACAATTTTCTCTAAAAGTATTATCCATCAGGAAGATATTTTGGAAAATAGAGAGAACATCTTCCAAGATGTCCCAAAACATACATCCTGTGTATTACTAACCACCATAGCACTTGAATACAAGGTTCAGGAAAATGTAATGTGTTTTCCATCTTCTGTAAATGAATAATACCACACTATAAATAGGTGGCTGCCTAGTATTCTTCCCATCTGAAGTATGTGATGTTCTATCCAATGCAATGTTGTATTTTATATACTATCTCTCGTTCAAATTGTAGCCAAATGCAGTTCTCTAAAACCAACTTGTTAAAACTTCTTTCTTTTAGCTCTCATACTGTTTTTGGTTGAATTTTAAATAACTTTGGCCAATTTCATCCCTGGTCTACATCTACTGTCCTCCATGGAATTACATCAAAGGTAAATTTTGCCCACTTTTCATACCATCGTGATACATTACTCTTTAAACATGAATGGAAATTTTCTTACCTGCTATCAAGGAAAATGGCAAAACTAATCTGAAAAGAAGCCCCAAGGCTAAATTATTCGCCATGCTCTTCTCTCAGGGTGTTGCCAGGAACTGGGAGGCATCCACAAACCCTGGTTCAGCACTGGTGGCCCTTTCTGACTTCTATCCCTTTCTGTTTGTCCTTTTTAAATGTAAACCCAAACCCTTACAAAACTGCATTAAAAATGTGATCAGAGAGGCAATCGATTTCTGAGTAAGAAATTGTGACAGCAACCAGAAGGCTAAGATCAGGGACTTGTCCAGTAATCCTCATTTTCTCTGAGATGGGAACTATTGATCCCTTCTTTCTTTCCCACTTTAATCCAGCCTTTTTCTCTTTAGTGCTGAACAAGTATTCTTAAACTTGGCTGTCAGAGCTACATTGATCTTTCTTTCCAAAGTCTCCTTGCTTGTTGCTTTCCAGGTCCTAATAAGTAGTCAGACTAGAACTATGCTCTAAACTGCAAATAGGAATTTTTCCCCAAACCCCAAGTATTATAGATGGTTTCTTTGATTGTTTGTCTGTTTCTCTTTCCTAATGAATTGCCAGTGGCCATTGAAAGTTTAACCTGGATTACTCGTCAAATACAACCAATTGTATATTGAAGAATAAAGTACCGCCTTGTATATGCTTAGCAAAAAGCGTAGTTAATCAAGGAAAGAGATTTCAAAGGGACGGAGAGGTCTAAGCAGCAATCCAAATGTCTTACAATCCCGCATATATCTTTTTTACACAGCTGTATCTCCAGTTTGTTTAAAAACAAGTATAAACTACAATATTAGTTGCAACATTGTAACACTTTTCACTGAGGCTATACATTTCTAGACATTGGGAATGCAGCAATTCACTTGGAGCCTGATCCAATCCCCATTAAAGTCAGTGAGAGTCTTTCCACTGATTTCAATGACCACTGGATCAGGTCTTTGGGTGGAAATTAAGCTCTAGTGATTTCAGTTTGGGTTTTCAGCAGGATAGTATTTGGTCCATGGATCCTAACTTAGGTCATGGGCATACATGCACAGTGACTAAGGGACTAATTATCTCACAAACACTCAGCTAATGCTCATTTGTTCCCGAGATCTAAATTCCCCTGCAGTTTCACTTGCGGCATTTATTTGTCACTTCCAAGCCTAAAGATTGAAGTAGAGTGTTGCTGGCCCAAGGTGGCTGCAAGAAGTGACTGTATTTCAATGATGGGTTACTTGGTGAGCTCTGGGTAAAGTGCTTTGGGCTCTCATAGTTGCTCTAGAAATAAAAGGCTTTGGAGTAATTACATTGTAGGTGATTTCCCAGGATTTTTTCTGCTTAAATTAGAACTCTTCCCTCCCAAGAGCCCTTTGCAGCCCTTAGCATCCCTCTCCCCAGCCTTCTTTCTCTTTTCCGCTGCGCCCCGGTCTTCCAACCATCTCTGTCAATGTGGCTTCTTTAATCATGCAGAGGAATTGCTACTGAACAACACCTGCTTCTGCCCAGGGACTGAGTTTGCTGCCTGCATGGGGTTCTGGGGAAGTGAGACAAGTAGATGGAAATGCAATCCAAGCCTCCACATGGAAATGAAGAAGCTGCTTCTGGGCTGTCCAAAATGCTCTTGTCATGTTCACTAACAATATATGAACTCCCTTACCAGAGCTTGGTGTGATACACTGTCTGTCTCACAACAGCCACATAATGCGTCTGTTGCAGAAAGCACAGTATTCCTTGGAAAGGCCTCTGTCTCATGCTTGTTTGACCTCCCTATTCCAGCTTGTCATCTCCAGAAAAATCCACAGTGGAAACCATACTTCTCCCCGGGTGAGCAAAGAAGCTGCCAGCAAAAGCACTGCAGGGGTGCAGGAGAAACTGCTGACCCCTGATCCCAACCCATGGAAACAGCCCAGAGCTGTGTCAGGAGCTTCCACAGGGCAGGAACTGAAGCCACTGGCAACAACCTTTCAATACTTTCTCTATCAGATAGGTGTTTTTAAAGCAGGCACTCCTGCTGAACCAGAATCTATTTCTGTGAGGTGAGCAAGAATGATGGTGTGATCAGCTGTAGCACCCGGTCAGTGGAGAAGAGAAATGTCTCTGATGTTCTCCTTATACATTGCTTCTCTGTTACTGTTTGTCTTGTCTATTTAGATTAGAAGCTCTTCAAGGTAAGGATTGTCTCCTCCTGTATGTTTGTACAGGACTGATCCTCTCTCATGCTCGTGCTCTGTGGTCACGGGCAGCAGGTAAGGGAGGCTGGGGGAGGCGGTACCTCCCCAAACAATCAGGC